TTCGGATACCCTCACGGCAAACAAACTGATGGTCAAAGGTGTTCGGCAGAGAGCCGCGACGATATTGACGATCTTGGTCAAGCAGATGTGGGGAAACAAATTCGACCTAGCCGAACAAGCGACTGCAAATGCAAGTCCGAAGAAACCACAGGCCAAGCACGAACCAACGACCCTCTTGCATTGGCAAGGGAAGCCAAACGAAGGAGAATCGAGGATATTCCTGTGGAAGAAGGAGTTGACCCAATCCAGAAAGCAATCGACAAATGGTTAGGCGAAGACTTCAACTTGTTGGATGCTCTTCGGGCTCAGAAGCGGAAGCCTATCGGTAAAGATGTTCTCTCTACACTTGGCAAAGAAGAACATTCATGGTTGGACAACATTGAAGTGGTGAAAACCTACTTTGACTTACAAGAATGGTGGAGACAACTGGCAAAACAACCACCCATCATTTTTGAAATTGCTGTGCGCATCTTTGCAATGCCAGATAGCAACGGCTTCCAAGAAAGAGTTTCAGTTCTTGTACATGGTTGATGGAAAACTCAGCAATGGACAGAAGGTTGACATGACTTCCAAATGCGCCTTCTTTGCTACAAGAACAGTGCATTCATCCAGAACTACAAGCAATGCACTCAATGATGCAAGAAAGAATGGGCTAAGAATAGGACAAGGCTCTCCTCAAGCTAACTGCCAGCAGATGTGAAGAGGAGGATTATGACAGTGATTTTGATGCCATTGGTGGACCTTTAACAAGATTGATGAGCCCCAGCCCAGAACTAGAAAAACCTAGATAATTTCCCTAAGTAATTGATTTATGAGTACTCAGTGAGTAGTCTATAGTACCCACAAAGTACCTGTACTCACATGATACCCGTACCCACTTGACCCTGGGAATTGTGAGTATTACCCAGTACCCATACTCACTTGACTTTGGAATTGTGAGTACTACTCAGTACCCATACTCACATGCTAAAACAGTGTGAGTACCACGCCCTGCTGAGAAACGTAAGTTGCTCGATTGCTCACAAGAGGGCCCAATACCCCAGTGCTCTCTCTCTCTCAGGCAGCTTTCCGACTGTTCCAGCAGTTCTTCAACAAGGTCTCTACCTGGTACTTCCTATACACCGGCAGAGCGCGATGATCTCTTGTCGTGGTTCTTTAAGCCAGCGTTAGCCAGCGGAATGCTAACCCTGGCATATATCAGGACTCGGGAGTCGCACAGTGTTTGTTACTGCAGCCACCGTCGTCGCTGTCGGTTTTGTTATCAGGTGACACTCCAAGCTTGTACAGATGTACCAGCGGCGGGTTGGAGAGCAATCTTGGAGGATCCGAGGGCTTTGTGTACGCCGGTCATGGAGAGTTTTGTGTTCAGTGTGAAGAATCCTTGAAGGTGAGGAGTAAGCTCCTTCTCGCCTACTTCTTTGCCGTAAACAAGGTATTTGCAGTAATCTTCGTAGAAGGGTTTGAGGAGCTTGATATCATTGTCGGTGTAATTGTTGATGGTGAATACGTAGCGGGTTGACTGTTTGGTTGGCGGCATTGGTGTTGAGAAAGAAGATATTGTTGTGCGCTATCTATCATCTGATGGGAGCTTCGGTCGGCGGGAGATTGGCATGAAGTTTTTTCATTGGGACCGACCTAGTGAAAGACCTAGCTAGTGAAAGACCTAGTGTGGGAGGTTGATTGCAACTGCTGCTACAGGTCGATTACAACTGCTGACTGCTGCTACAGGTCGATTACAACTGCTGAGTTTGCTAAGCTACAGGTCGCTCAAACGGGCTAGTTTGCTAAGCTACAGGTTGCTCAAACGGGCTAGTTTGCTAAGCTACAGGTCGCTCAAACGGGCTAGTTTGTAGGTCGCTCAGTCGCCGCGGGGCTGCTGTTGGGAGCTCAGTCGCCACGAGGCTGTTGGGAGCTCAGTCGCCGCAAGGCTGGTTGTAGGTCGCTCAGTCGCCGCGAGGCTTTCAAGTTAGACTAGTCTAGTTTGGGTCGCTCAATTGCCACGGGGCTCCCGAAAAATAGAAAATAGAACAGGTTGGGCAGGTAATATAGGCTGCCCTCCTGTTCTACTTCTTGGGTTGGGGTTTTAGCTAGCTACTCGCGTTCTGAAGCCACCGTTCGCAAGTGAGGCGGGGAGTGCGCTTCGCTGTTGTCAGAACCCAAGTTGCGAGGTGTCGCACGGTGGATCTTGGGCGTAGACACGTTCGATGGCTCTGGTATTGTCAGGCTCTCCGTTGGATGCTGCAGGGTCAATCGATCGGCCATCGATCAGCTCGCCCTTTGAGCGCTATCTTTTGTCATCATCTACGCTACGGCCGAGTTGATGGAGATCTGTTGTTCATGGGAATGATGTTGTCAAGGCGAGGCTGGTGGGGGGTTGTGAGGAACTGCTGTGCGGATCCGATCGCCATTGTTCAGTTCGACTGTGATCAACAACAAAGTCGAGTCCATTGAGTCAAAGTGTGACTAACCGTGATCCAAAGTGTGAATCTCCTGAAGTGTGAATCGCCAAGTCAGTCGGTCAGTGTTCTCACGGAAGATACCTCTCGTTTCGTCGTCGAGTTGCGAGTTGTGAGTTTGTTCGGGTGCAGTTGTATGGGTTGGAAGCCAAGTCAACAACAGTGCAAGCTGGTCGAGAAACATACTATCAGTTCATGCTGTTGTTATGGCTATCTAGAGTTTAAGCAACTTGGCATGCTAAATCTGATGGATCTTGTGGGCATAGACATGTTCGATGAAGGAGTGGGGAGTGTTAGGTGGAAGAGGACGGTACCATGGCTTGGTCTTGTCAGTCAGGAGTGCTTCATTAAAGCGGATGATGGAGAGGTGGAGTGGTGTTGAGGCATTGCATGGCTTTTTGCCTTGGGTTTTGACACTTGAAGCGGCGCTCAACAATGCATTCTTGATGCGGTCCATCATGACAGAAGCTTCTTCCATCGTTGGGGTGACTGTGTAGCTATCGAGGAACCGTGCCATGACCCTGATGGCTGCCTTGATCTTTCGGTATTTGCATCTCATGCGGTTGTCAACTTTGGGGGTGGATTTGTAAGATCCCATGAAGTTACAGGCGAAGAAATTGATGAAGACGACTCTTGGGTCAGTGTTCCTTGTCACGAGATCAAGTAGTGATTTGAGGGGTCGGACATTTAATACAGATTGAAATGGGGACAGCAAGTAGTCGTTGGATGATGGTTGCATTGGAGAGGTTGCGGTGAGTGGGGAGACTATGGTTGGGTTGACGGTGGTGGTGGTGTCAAGGGTGTTGGCTTTGTCAAACAGGTCTTGACATGATGACTTGAACTTGTTGAATTCAGCTGGTTCAATGCCATCTCGTGATAGTCGTTGGATGAGAATGCCAACAATGAAGTGGTTCTTTGGATCCCTGAATAAGCCGTTGGGTTCTGCACGGATGTGATCCACTAGCTGATCCCACTTGGATAGGACGCACACAAGCAACATTTGCTTGGCTTGGATGCAGAGCAGATCTTGAGGGATATGGCCGAAGAAAACCGAGCAGATCTTGTCACCAAGCTCCTTTGAGATGACATTGTACGGTGGTATGGTCACACGCTGATAGTCAGTGCCGACTTTGGACCATCCTGCAAGAGCTTTCGCACCATCAAGAAGGTAGGGAAAGGGGTTTGAGAAATACTCAGCGCGAGCTCCTTCCCCAATGTTCCAACCACCGAACAATTGTGCAGCAATATGAAGCTTGTTACCATCAAGGAGATATTGGGCAGTGTGCTTGCCAAAGTGTGATGTGCCTTTTCGGACGATGGTGGTCTCTGAAGGTGGGTAGCGCTTCCAGATGGCATCAAGTGTGATTTTGTAGTGGCTTGAAACAGCAGAATCACCTGTCAGGTTGCCAATTGATGGCATGAGGGCTTTGTCTTTTTTGTGTATAAACAGGGCTAAACCTACAGCAACAGTGAGATCTCCAAAGACATCATATTTGTTGGGAATGAGGGGGTGGTTGTTGTCTACACCCATCTTGTCGCGTACAAGATAGCATTGGAGGATGTTGTTGCGGGGGCCTTCGTAAAGCTCTCTGATGGAGAGATTCTGCACGGTGAGGCGGGAGGTCTCGCTTGCCCTGCTACAAAGACGTAGCAAAGCTGTCTGGAAGACATAGAAATCAATGTACTTTTCCAGGTTGAACCAGAGGCAACGTTGCAGGATGAATTCAATGTCTCTGCTGGTGTAAACTTTGTTCTTGGGAGGTAGAGGAGATTCTTTCTTGCGTTCCTTCACCATTGCCTTCAATGAAGTGAAGGCTGATGTGTAGGTTTCTTCAATAACTTTAAGGTAGCGGGATAGCATGAGCTTTTTAGTCAATTGGTTCTTGATTGTAGGCATGTAGCGTTCCAAGGTGCCTATGGCGTAGGAGCCCCCGTTGCTTTTCTTGAGACTGAACCAAAAGGCGGGTTGACCTTCCCAGAATGCAAACCACCACTTTGTTACATCGTCGTCATTGGTGGAGAAAGAACCGCCAGTTTCACCTATGTCCGTATAGTTGACCTTGGATAGACCAAGTTGGTCTTGGAGGTTATCCAGATAGGGTTGGATCAAGGTGGCTGTGCTGTTGTGCTTGGCCTGGCAGGACTTTGAAGCTGAACCATAGAAGTTGACACTGATGGTCTCTAGAGGAGATCCCATTGCAGGTCCTTTTGGCGCCCTTTCTTAGTGTTGGAACCTGATCGTTTCGGTGTCCTTAGCGTTGGAAACTGAGCGGTGCTTTGTTCGAAACTGAGCTTGTGATCTTCTCGTAGCACAATCCTTTCAGATTCATGCGAGAGCTCTGAAGTTTCGGAGGGCGGATATTTTGCTGGGATGTTGGTTGGTAGTCACTAGGTTGCATGACCCAGTGGGAGTCGACTCGACGGCCCAGTGTGAACTGAGAGCCGGTTGGGTTAACTACTTAGGTGTTTTCCGCCTGACAGGCTAACGACAGTTAAAGGTTCACAACTGTTGATTCAGATTATAAATTTGGCTCGAACTGTATCAGAGGAGCCTGAGGGGTGCTTGTGACGGGCTTTCCTCAAGGAATCGCGACAACATCATGCCAGGTAGGGGCTGCAATTCCTCCTTTTCAGCAACCAAAGGTTGAGCAGAAAAACGATGGGAGGCCTCGTCGTGGTCCCATGGCATCTCGAGCGCACCGTCGGATGAATCGTTGTCGAAAGATGCCACAACGGGGCCACAAGGCAGGAGCTTCAGAGTGGGCTCATCACTAGGAGCCAGGCGGTTGGATCAATTCACAGCCGCCTTGATAGCCAACATCAACGGGTCGACTATACCGTCAATCCCCTGTATTTTACGAACGTGCACCTTCACGGCGACGACCTTACTCAAGTTCAAAGATTCCGGCATCGTTGGAACCTCAACCGTACCGGTACCAGTAGCGTCCTTTAAATAAAATCCTTTCGCCCTTGCAGAAGTTGCGTTTGTTTTCGACGCTTGAAAAGACGTGTAGTAACTCTGATGGTGCGATGGGACCCGTTCTCTGATGTTCGGCGTTTGCAGACTTCTTTCCTGCATTGTCATCGCCCGAATCGAAGCGTTTCCTGTGTTCTTGGGGATGTCGGGGGGCAGATCATCTCGGTTCACAACATCGGCAATTGCTTTTACGCAGTCCGATAACAGAGATGTTGCATTTCGAATATGTTGCTCCTCGCAACGATCCAAATATAGGGTTTCTTCGTGGACATTCCCACGAAGGAGAGATTCAAAAATTTCATTGTCAGCACTCTGATTATATGCTTCTTGATAAGCGTCTGCTTCTGTAGTCTCATCTATATCCGCAAGGTTGCGGGACACATGCCCTGGTTTATTGCCACAGATGGCTAAAGCCCAATAGTCATCGCCTTTCCATTCGCGCGCTTGTTGTAACGTCATACACGGCACAATTAACCAATTCGAGTCCCTGTCGAAGTCGCCACCGTGGTCTGACGGAACAGGAACGGCATTTTGAGGCAAGTTCTTCAATCCTGTTGCACCTTTTCGAATCCCATAAACCAGTGTTCGAAGAGCCACGATTGCATCTTCTCGACTGCTTCCATCGTGGCAAAAGTTCTCAATCTCTGGGGCGCCGACAATACCCTGACCTAGGACACCATGCACACCAGCACACACCTTGTCGGCGGGGAAGCAATGGCCGCGGCTGGCTCCTCGTTGTAGCAAGTAGTCTCTGGGAATCGTGGTAGGTTTCTTTGGCTTCCTTTCCTGGTCATCCTCCAACTGGCTCCGGCTTTCGGAGCCGCTAAATGATGCGCTTGACTCGATATCGACCAACAGATCTTTCTGCGACGCCTTTGTCTGATTTTTAGACAACATTTTTGCCAGATTCGCACCAGCAGCCAGCCCCCGATATGCCAGGATTCCGGTATCGTTCATTTCCTCTTCACTACGACAAAACTTTGTATACGCACCCACAAACGGGCATTCGAGTGATCCATTGCCTTTGTTCACCACAGGCGACCATCTTTCGTAGACTCATTCCCACCAGAATTTGTCACTGTCGTGTATTTCCATCAGGAAGGATTTGAGCAATCGGTAGCCTCCAGGATCATTTTGGATCAGGTCACTTTTGCGTCGAAAGTTGACTCCTGCCTTGCCTGACGCAAACTGATTGTGGTGCTCAAAGTCACAATAGCCCGTTTCCGACTGGCCACATTGACAACACCCACGCAAAAAGTTGTGCGGATTTGTTCCAACAAAGAGCATGCAAATCTCTGCCAAGTATTCGTGTCGATTGGCAGCCGCGTATGACTTGTGATAGACGAGACGTCCTTGCTGAAAGCAATCCTCCACTTGTTGCATAAAGTAGGGATCGAGCTGTTGCCGTATGACGAGATCCAAACCATGCGTCAATTCGTGCACCGTGAGTTCTCCGCCGTAGTAGTACTGTTGGTTGCCATTGCCATTGCCTGACAATCGAAAGTCATCGGAACTGGTAAAGACTCCTGGATTGATTGTGCTGTTACGTCCCGTCCAGCAGTCGGGAAACTCTGGACAATTCCCCGCCTGTTGATTGGTGGCTGCATCGAGAATGATTAAGCGAAAGGGTCCTTGGGGCATGTCCAGTGGCGCCCGCCATTGCAAACAGAGCTTGCGAATCTCGATAGGAACATATCTTGACACTAATTCCGCGGCACAGTTCAAGATTCCCTTGTCGACCTGTTTGGACGCCAGCACCCACAGGCCATCTATGCAAATGCCATTGTAAAAGCTGGGATCCGGTTGAAAGTGTGGATTGGGTTCTTGAGTATTCTCTCCAAAGCAAAATCCAAGGCTTTGTCGAATTTCCTCGGAAGGTTCTTGAGAGGGTGGCACTATCCAGGTTTTAGAGTTTCTGGTGGTGGTGACAGCAAGGCTCTTGCTGGCGTCCACCACACGAATCTCGCCAATGTGCGGAAAGTAACATCCTTGGTTTGTGGATATTTTCACGGTGTTGGATTGTTGTTCTTGGAGTGGGAAGGGTCCATATCGTCGATGAACGAAATTGTCAGCCCCGTAGTATCCTCCCGTAACATCCGAGCAGCAGCCATCTCTGGAGAATGTTTCGTTGATTGTCAGTGTAATTGGACGTGGGTCCCCAGAAGCATAGGTAATGTCAATGAAAGCCTCCTTGCAGGAGGTCGTACCGGTATTGTCAAATGCAAACGAGTACCATCCACCGCCATTGCCGTCCACGAATATCATGTCGTCATTGACTCGCACGTTGGGGGTTTTCTCGTGAGGTTCTCGTAGCACAGCAACGGGTCGAGTTTTCTGCAGAGCAGCTTTTCGTACAGGAATGGATTCCAATTGGGCCTTGACTCCTGGATGACTGGGTTTTTGAAGGCACGGAGATGTGGTTGCTTTGTCTTTTGTAGGAGTGGCGTCATCAGTACTATTTGTACTTTTGGTGGCCACTATTCTTGTTGGTTGCACGGTCGAATCGAATGCTTCGATTACTGCTGGGAGCAAGACTAGTCGTTGCACATGAGGCCAAAAGCCCTGATTCACAGAGTCAATCTTGATTCTTTCGCAATCAGGAGGGATTTCCAGGGGACCGTAGTGAAACCATTGTAGCCCAGAAGGATCCCAAGCGCCCGTTGTCTCAAGTGCGACATTCTCAGCCAGCAAAACACTTTGAGAGGACGTGTCTTCGCCCCAAACATTCAAGGGCCTCGAGTCATGAGATGTATACTGGAGGAACAGCCAATAGTAGCATCCATCAGCAGAAGACTTGAGAATTGATGTGGCGTCCCAGGTAACGTAGCCATTGCCGCCGTCAAATCCCATCATCCCATCGCCCATGTCACGAATGTTCGCAGCTGCTGCCAATCGGTTGGCAGACTCCAGCACGTGAATCCCTGCTGCAACATCCGTTTCCACAACTCCCTCGTGGACTACTTTAGAGGCTGCCTCATGGCTCAAGCGGCGGAACGTCATGGTGGTGGCCCTTTGAATTCGATCTATTTGTCCTTGCCCAATCATGATTCCGACAGGACCGATGATGCGTGATGCATGACACACGACACAGTCCGGACAAAAAACAGAAATAGCAATAATAATGCGTCAGGACGTATGAACCGGCTACACTACTAGCTAGAGCTGGGAAATAAATACCGTAAGGTATCGGTACCAGGTACATAATATAAACTACAGTACTACTCTAGCTAGCTAGAGTACCGGTACCCGTAATTGTACCGGTACCTAGCGCACCGGAATGGGGGGTCTTGTGTAGGTAAGTTATCTAGCTAGCTAGTACGGAAGCCGACAAGGGGCCAGGCTTAGGCAAAGAAAAAGGTGAAATTCGGGACTTGCTTTCCGTGGGATCAGGGGTGACAAACAAACTGAGGACCAACAAGGAGGGCAACGGGCTTGACTTTGCCTGATCTCATTTCTAAAGTGTTCCGATACCGTGCGTTGCTCGGGGAAAGCCTTTCGTAAAGCATGGTTTGATCCTTACTAACTAGCTAGCTACTTTGGAAACCGTCCAAACACCACCTGCTCCCATGCCCCACCAGTTCAAAAATGCAGGTGTAATCTAGCTACACTTATGCATACTTATGTGTATCACGTGCCTGTAGGCACTAAGTATCAGTTGTCGTGGGCTATGGACAGGTCCATTGATGATGTGGGACTTCCACTTCGTTCATTCAAGTTTGAAGCTGTCATTGACGCCTTGCCAGGGGAGGAATTGCCACCACCAAGTAGATCAAAGTATTGGGATTGCATCTTCTGAACCTTTCCGTTTGCTCCCCATGAACTGAACAGTTGGATTGACTGCCGAATACATGCACTGGCTTCCGGATGGGCTTCCAAGCATTCAAGAGCGTACAAACCCCAGCATTCATAGAAGAGGGCTGCATCATGCATACAGCCTACCTGCTTGGCCAAGTCAACGGCATTCTGATACTTGGCCAAGACTTTCCCACGGCTTTTTTTCTTTATTGCACTCAGCTCAGCCTTCATGATGGCCTCATAGTGGACCACATTGGGATTCCCCTGATTCACCCAATCTGATATGATTGCCAGCATGCTCTTCCCTTCTTTCAGCATCGATTTCTTCCCACTTCTTCGGGCTACAACCAAGCATGAGAGACCTCGAAGAAATGGATCCATCATGGACATGGGAGATCCAGGAAAAGACTTCTTGATGCTTTCTCCCTGTGCAAGTGAAGTCTCAGCACACAAATCAAAGTCTCCTGGGGGCAAAAAGATTGGAAAAAGTGCAAAGTTAGGTTGTTGTAAGAAACCATAGAGTTGCTGGAATCCTGGCGCCCTTTGATCGCTTCTTACCCATGTATGTATTGAGAAGCTTCTTCGTCCAAAACACATACAGATGGTTCTTGTCACTAGTAGGGTCATCCTTACTTGGAGCCCCAATTGGCCATGAATTAATGCTTTCCACAACCTCATCGGTGTCCTTGCCTTGGAATGATAGGAATGCCATTAGTTGGAACTCTGCATGGTGCGCATGAAAGTCAGTTCTTGCCCTTTCTAGCTGCAGTTGGGTGCGGCAGTTGCTGACCATCTGTCCAAGAGGACAACCTGCCAGAAATGAACAGAGTGTACTAGCACATCCAGCCTGCTCTGTGCAGCCACGGTCGCCAGCACGAACTCCACACTCATGAGCAAGTTGAAGCTGGGTTGCGGCTTCACATGCAGGAGTTGTCCACACAAGCCCTTGTCCATATGATTTCACCCTTGTTCCAGGGATGATTGGTCTGTACTTGACCATTTCCGTCAACTTGAGCGCACACTTGGCAAACAAGGCTCCCCCCTTCAAGTCATTCAAAGGCCCTGTGAACATTGGTGCTGCTGCAGCAAAGGCAGATGGTGCATAAATAGAGATGCCATACTGCAGTGTGTACTCAACCAGTCGCCCAACGATCAAAGGGAATCTTGCATCATTGCATAGCTCAGAAAGAGGCATAAGAGCAAAGAGCAGCTTGCAAGTTTCCCGAATGTTCTTTGGGGGGTCAATCATCTTATCCAATTTCAGATCCCCATCAGCCTTTGCAAGCTTGTTCCGAACTTTCTTGAGGTGTGTCATGCAAGCCATAGTCTTGGCCCCAGTAGTGATTTGGTTTCTTGGGAAGGCACAACCAAGTTCTTCCAGGGCGGTAATCCCAACCTCAAGTGACTCCCTCCTGCTACCCAGCGCTGGGCTGGAATAGAATCCTCCATAGCAGAGATTGATGGTTGCACCTAGTCTTGTGCTTATTGGCTTGTCCGTTTGTGCTTCAATCAATTCTTGACAGTGTTTCTCCATGGATGATATATCACCACATACTCGTTCTGCCCGAATAAGACATGTGAAGAGCTCATGGCAAAGATCATTGGACTGGACCCACTTATCCTCGGGCAAAAATGACAGCCCCTTTGCTGCAAACATCTTTGCATTGGTAAACGCGGCAATAGTTGTTGCGTGTTGGCTTGCCAGCAAATTGAGCCTGGCAAACTGCAGTTGTCTCTGTTTGTCATTTGTGTCGAATCCCGGATTGACTAGATGCGCCACAACAAAAATCATGGACTCGAGGTCACCAGACTTCAAATGAGTTGCCAATGCTTCACCCACTTGGCACTGAAACTCATTTCGGTCCTTTTCAGGTGTGAGCAACATGGCCCCTGAGCGAATCTGGTCATGATTCCATTGGTACACCGGTATCAAGTCTTTGTGCTTGTGCCAGAAACCTTCACTGCACAAAAGATCGAGACTGGTTTTGAAGACTTGCTCCAAGGTATCCTGGTCACACTGGTACCGCTGTCCAAACAACTGGAACCAAAGCGCGTGGAGAACCGACTCCTTGCATGTGGAACCCAGACAAGCCGCCAGCCTCAGAATCTCTAGACTGGATTGACTGCCCAATGTGGTCATTTGCGCCAACTGGAGCTCGACGGCATTCCTTGTTGTGGACTGAGTCTTGATGTCAACTTGTTGTGCATCCCAAGTCCACTTGTGTTGGTCGAGATCATAGGAGAGATGCCCGTAGCATGTCAGCATGGTCAAGAAGCTGTTTAAAAAGAATGGATTTCCCCCTGTCCGTTGGTGGCAAATAGATGCCAACGCATCTAGGTTGGCTGCCTCGTCAGGCGCAACATCCAGTAGGTCTTGCATGTAGAGATGCACGGATCGTTTGGAGAGATGGCTCAGTGGTATTTGCGTCAGGTCTATTCTGCCGGTGGCACTTTGGTGTTCCCAGTGTGCCAGTGTCTTTTGAAGGCTCTCGTGAAGTTCGCTGGATCTGTAAACGACGATGCAAAGCAGACTGTATTCTTGTTGTGGTTCCAGCATGCCCTGAAGCAGAGCCAGGGATTCGTCATCGGCAAATTGTAGGTCATCCAACAGAAACACCACGGTGGAAAAGCTTTGACAAACGACGCATAGAAATCGACGGATGGCTTCTCGAAACCGAGTCTTCGTTCGGTCAATAAACATGTCATTGTCGTTGTTGCCGACACTCGTTTGCGGATGATCACGTGGGTCGATCCCAAGGATGATGCCCAAAAGAGGCACGAGTTTTATCAGGAGCACCAGCTCTTCGGTATCAATCGCAGCGACGAGTTTGTTGGCTAGTGATTGGGATCGCAGCGGTAGGCTGTCTTGTTCGTTATCCAGTTGCAGGATGCGTTCTGCAAGTACCTCCAATGCCGCAACGATTCCCGCATACGGAACGTCCCGGTGCAGCATGTCGAACTTCCCGTGGACAAAGAGTGGATTGTCGAGGGATCGAAAGACGCTGGTGGACTGGATGCTTTGGGCCAGCCTCGTTTTCCCTGTCCCCGATTCCCCGTGTATTTGTACCACATGCGATCTCATCATGGCCCGTTTGGCGTGGTTTTGCAGTGACTCTGCCAGCAAGCTCGATTGGATCTCCCGTCCCACCATTTTGGTCTCTGCGAACGCGAGTCGTTTGTTGGCGGTTGCTGTTGGTTGTTCGCCTGTCCCGAGTCGGGTAAGGTGGGGTATGTTCAGTTCGGGGATTGTTTCGACGTTGTTTGGTTCTTGCTGCTGCTGCTGCTGCTGTTCGTATTCACTCTCCTCTTTGCTGGTGCTGTTTTCTCTCGTGGGCTTTCTGGGAGGGCTATGGCAAAAGACATCGTCCGTCCACGAACGTCGTGCCGCTGTAGCATCCGACGCTTTGCTATGGGTCGTATTAGTAAAGTGGCCACTGTCTCCTCTGGGGATGATGGTTGTTGTGGCCCGATCATGATAGTACTCGGATTCCGTAAAGAGGCCGCTGTCTCCTTGAATGTTGGTCAACATTGTAGCAGTTGTTGTTGTTGTTGTGGCCCGATCGTGATAATAGTTGTACTGCTCACTAATACTTGGTTCCATTCCACTGCACACACTCAAGCAGCGCTCGGGTATTTGAGGAGGGCCATTGTTGTCGCGCGATGATTCCGAGTACCGCCTGGGTCTCTGGGGAGGACCGCTCCTGTCGCTGAACCGCCTTGGTCTCTGAGGAGGTCCACTGTTGCCGCTGCTATTGTCCATTGGATCATTATTGTTATGCTTACTACTTCGCCTACGCCCATACTGTCGATCCTCCCGTTCCTTGGCAGCAGCATAATAGTTGTTGTGCTTATTATTAGAAGAGGAAGGAGTCACGCCATCACGAGAAGGCACATACTCCGAAACGCTATGATCGTAGAAGAAACCGGTGACTGATGAGATACAAGTCTCGTCATCATTGAGATACACATGATCAGCGGGGAGTCGAAGGCGAAAGTCCATGATGGATGATGATGGATGATGATGGCTACAAAGCAAGTGGCTGGATGGATAGGGACGAAGAGGACCTTTACTAACTACCAAAAGTTGTCTATTGTGTTGCTGTCGATCTCAGAAAAGCTACCACCACAATATGGATCTCGTCGAGATTCTCACTTGGGTTGTTATCAATTGACCTGGGGCTGTTGGATGTTGCACGTTGCACTTCAATTGCCTTCTGGAGTGAGCTCAATTGGTCAATTGTAGCGCGACGGAAAATAGAAGAGGAAAAAAGAAAGTGGAAGACTGGCGAAAAGACCCTTTGAACATGTTGCTACATACCGTTGGTGGCTGCAACATGTGGCCCAATCGGGCGGTTCCTTGGCTTTCCTTTTACAAAAGGGCTGTAATCTGAAGCTTTCCTTCTCAGGGCTGTAAAAGAAATGCCGCTTGGGAAGTTCAAGGAGATGTGGTAATACTAGTATATACTTTCTATACAATGTTAAGGATTCAAATGGTATCCATAACCCTAGGATTACCACAACTACCACTAACTTGCTGCGGCTAAGTCTGGGACATAATTGATTGATGATTCGATGATTCGATTCGATTATTTCTATTCCAGTAGCTATTCCAGTGGAAATCTTGGTGCCACTGGAGAATTGTTGTTAAGTTCCTAAGAATAGAAATTGATTACTGAATTAGAGAGGGACATTTTTGCCTTCTTGTAACTTGTAACCCTTCCGGACTGGTGCAAACTAACTTTAAACTGTAGAAACTTCGAAACTTCAATGCACGCCGAAAACTATCGATCGATCAAAAGCTGTATTATACTAAGGTTAAGGCTATTGACTTCCTCAATATTTTCTGGGCAAGCTGCACTGGTACCGGTACTACGATACTAGTAGAGCTAGCTAGCTAGCCAGTACCGGCAGTGCCTCATTGCCTCGTTGTCATCGAAGTGCTTTGAGAACCATGCCGACAACAGAAGAGAAGACACCATCATCGCAGGACGACGAAGGTCGCTTGAAGGATCTAGCCGCTTCGGTGGAGAGTGCCATTGATAATCCCACTTACGTTCTGACCAAAGATATTGAACAGCACAATCCCGAGACAGTGTGGAAGGCCCTCAGCACCCCGGGCCTCCTGATGGAAATGCATCCATTGATTGTGGATGTGCAAGTGATTCAGAGACAGGAAGGAGACGACGGAACCATAAAAGGAATTTTGGACGTTACAGATCAGCTGGAGTTTCTTTGCGGTCTCGTCAAGTCCAAAACAACCTACCGAGCCTACATGCATTGCAGCCCTCCCAAAGCTAATGCCGAGCCAGCATCCGGCACACGAAAAATCTACTTTCAAACTTCCACCATGGGGACGACGGTATCCACTCGGATCGATTGCGAACCAGCCAATGCCACTGGTACTACAGTCACCCAGACAACGTTCATCACGGCTCCATTTGGATTGCGGAGATACGTGCAGCAAACGGCCCGAATGGCACATGAAGGTTCCCTGGAATCGCTTCCCAGTATTCTTGACAAACTAAGTAGTGGTTCCTGATGAAAGGAAGCTCTCTGGTTCGACGTGGAGTTTTCGTTGGCTATTTGGAAAACAACCGGCCTTTCTGTGTGACATATCATGTAGACGAGACCTCACCTTCAACACATACATGTGGTGTGGATCCATTTCAAGTGGATTTATGAGGTTGATTTGCTGTATCTAGGTCCATCTCCAACTCCCCCCAGCCACGAAACCCAATCCGCTACATGCGTCTCTCACTTTAGTGGATGATGTCATAGGAAGCAAATACGCAGATATGCTAGTGCTTTACTACCACGGACTTTCACATACACTATACTAATTAGACTATGTTGACAGTGCATTGCAAATCCTCCGGTTGTGAACATCACGGATGGTGGATATGTATGTGTTGACTTCAGGATCCTAATGCCACTACCGTACTGTACGGTACCGTCGTCCTGTTCTCGGAAGAGAAGGGTGAAAATGCAATATTGGTCAACCAGGAGACTATGCTCAGTTTCAGCTGTCACCTCGTAGCTAGCCTAGTAGTCTAGGGCTACTGCTTGGGTGGAAGGGAGCTGAAGAGAGGTTTCATTGATACAGCCATCCCACTGATACATCCCGACGCCAAGCCACACCGCAACACCTCGAGTGGTGGACCTACGAGAATCTTGGTCTGACCGTCGTCAGCTGCTAGAGAAGCCTTTTCGACAACGGCCACCCACGCCAAATCTTTGTTGTCACACCAAAAAGTCGGAGTGGGGGTGTCGACCATGGCAATACCCTGACACCGTACCTTCAAAGCTGATTGAATCATATTACGTGAGAGAGATAATATTCCAAGAGAAACAAAAGAGAAACATTTCGCATATTCGTTCAGAGATTCATAAAAAGTGATCCCAACCCTTGGTCCATCCAATCCATCAATCGTTTTGAAGGGTAGCTGTCAAGCCAGAAGTGGTTCCGAAAACAAACACCTGAACAGGACTTTCAATATAACCAATACTAGTTCACTCACCCAAGCTACCTGCCACTATGGGAGGACAACAATCCAAAAACTTCGATGATAACAGCCATGATGGTGGCGAGGGTGGCATGTGCAGTCAAAACTGTGGATTCCTGGGAAACATTGTCAGGATCACAAAACGAGCCAGTATGGATCTAATAGGGTCTCCCCAACCTGAGACACCGATGCATCAACGAAGAAAACGAGCAGAGGTCAAGAAGACTCTTAAAAAGGAAGTCAGGTCGTCAGTCTATGGGGGTTTGGAAAAGGAAGTGATACCCGAACACGCGACAAACCATGAAGATCTTTTGGAGGTATCATCCACCAGCAGTAATGCACAAGTCATTGTTCATGAGGGGCCGGTACGTTACGTGACAAGCCAGGTGGAAATAGTTTTTTTGGGGGAAGTGTATAGCCAGCCAGAGCAAATGCTGACTTAATTTCTGTGTCTCTTTGCTTAGGATTGTGAAAAGGAGCTGCAAAGAAAGTACCAACTCATGGAAGTCCTGGGAGTTGGTTCTACCTCCACGGTGCATCGATGTTTGAACAAGGATGAGGACATCCTCTGTGCTTGTAAGATTATTGACAAGCTTCAAATGGAGGACCGTTTTGCAGGAATGATGGCACAATTCCAGACCGAGGTCGAAGCCCTGAGGATGTTGCAACATCCTTGTATCATTCAGTTGTACGATGTTTATTTGACCGAGGAAAAGATATACATCGTCATGGAACAGATGGAGGGAGGTGAACTATTTGATTATGTAGTGCAAAAGGGCACACTCAATGAGGAAGAAGCCTCCAAAATAGTACGTCGCGTCACCAGTGCATTAGTCTATATGCATGACAAGGTACGTCCAACGAGGAGGAGAAGGGAATAGGTGCTCTCCACAGCATGCATCAGCTAATCTTACTTCTTCTGACTGACGCTTGGAACCTCAGAACATTGTTCACAGGGACCTCAAGGTGAGTCTTCCAATCTTCCATGAGATTTGTCAGTCGCTAGTGCCTTAGACTGATCGATCTTGTCTGCCTCTGCAATACCTTGTTCAGCCGGAAAACCTCCTATTAAAGAGAAAGCCCAGACCAACAGAAGATGTCGAAGTTAAGATTATCGATTTTGGGTTGTCGAAAGCCATGGTAGAACCAGTGGCTAGGACCTTTCTGGGGACAAGGGGATACCTTGCGCCAGAAATGCTGCAGCGGAGAGAATACACAAAGGTGAGCAAAGAGGCAGCAGTGTTTATACGTTACTTGTTTCGCACCGTATACGTGGACTGAACTTTCGTTTTGACGAAAAGGCCGTGGATACTTGGGCCCTGGGCGTGATTGTGTTTGTTCTGCTATGTGGGTGTCTGCCGTTCGACGACGACTCGAGCACGGTTCCCAGCGACGACCTAGTCAAGGCCAAGTTCGTGCTTCGCTTTCCTCGATGGGCCAGCAACCTGTCGGCATCCGCCAAGGACTTGCTCTCTCATTTGCTGGATACCGATTCCAGGACTCGATATACGGCAGAACAAGCCCTGGCCCATCCATGGGTGCGTGGACAAACAGCACCTCGCAAAAACCTATTGGCATCACCGCGACGCATTCGCGACAGTCCTCATCTACGTACCCCACAAAGTTCCAAACGAAAAGGTGCCACTCCCAATGGTCGGCGGAAGCAGCAAACCCATCCTGCTGCATCTCCAGAGTTGTCGCCCAAGGGACCCATGGTACGAAAGCAGAGCATTTAAACTGTGTGTGCGTCCCGTCATGTTGATAGACACCTACGCGCAACAAAGATTCACCCTAAACAAAAGTTTTGGCACACAAATTCATGATTTTGCAATTTTGCACGAGATACATCTCCAAACCCAACAGCTAACAATTAAAAGACGTAAACTTATAAAGCAAGAAGAAGACAATCCCCAGATCAAACACCAAAGCATTACTAGTAACAGGCCTGGGTGACGGATGCAATGTGTTTTTGCTACATTGGTATTTAAACTAGCTAGCGTGATGTCTGCTGGCATGCAAGCACGGGGCATGCTCCTTCTCTTGTTTTTGAGGAATGCATGCTTGTTCAAAAGCTTGCTGTTTCAGCGACAGTATTGAAGTCTTTCCATGTAGGGTAGATAGATGTTGTGACAATTGCTCTTGGCTTGGTAGCACGGTAGGGTAGATGGATAAAAAGAAATATAGATGGACTTCGCTAGTGTACGTGTGGTTGGCTGCATTGCATTCCCTGTGTTGTCGCTTCCCGACTCTTTGGCTCGTTCAGTAAGGAGGGGGTCCTGGTCTGGTAAAGACAGATCCACTGTGAGCATTGAAGGCTGCAGCAGCACCCGAGTCAACCCGATGTTGTGCCTTGAGAGCCGCCAACACTGTTCCGTAGACAGTCTCTGTGCTTCCGGCGTTGGCAGTGCTACTGTTTGCATCAGCAAGCTTGTAGTGTCCAGCATCCTGCCGTGGAGGAGCGGGAGCAATTGGGACGTACTGACGGGCACCGGTGGAGGAAGCGTTGCCACCTCCAATGGATGACAACAAGGAGTTGAGCATGCTGGTGTTGGCACTGCTGTCTTGGGGGGTAAAACCTGGGAGCAGCAGTGTTTCGCCATGAGCGGAGTGAAGTTGTGCACTTCCTGCTGCTACCATCTGAGCAGCTGACAAGGCTTGAGAATAAGTAAGGTATCCCAGAGCCTCGCCCAGACTCGTAGTGATTGCAGGGGCGGGGAGTCCCATTGCCGGTGCCATAAGGGATGGCGCAGCTGGAGCGGATGCAGGAACTGCGGGCACCGCCATTGCTGGAGTGCCTGCTGCCAGCGCCACCAAGGTGGGGTCGATCGTTGGTGCAGAAGCTGCAGGTGGCGGAATAGCAGCAGCCGAGACGGGTGGTGCTTCTGGAACCGTACCGGTAGCAACCTGAGGCTGACTGGATCGAGCAGTATTGTCTTCCAACCAGGGTAGCTCATAGAAACGTGGTTCCGTCTCGGGCGACGATGCCTTCCGAGCACCCTTGCCCTTGACCTTGGTGCGAGTGATCTTCTGGGCTAGCAAAGGTCGTCCTCGAAGGAAGTACTCATGATAGTAAGAGTTCTTATCACGGCCTGTAACAAATAAATCAAGAACACGCAGCAGCACGCAGCAGAAAGAAGAACCCGTGAGAATGAATAAGAACTAGTGCTATACCACGCTATCCAAGCCAGTCATCACTGAAGACGAAGAGGACAGGGCATTGAACGCCATTGTCTTCAAAAGTCTTGAAAACAAACAAACAAACGAGAAACGAGAGCGGTGCTTACCTTGAGTGATCCTCTGAAAGCCATATAGATTAAGCTGTCTCTGAAAGGAGGCAAACTTGGATTGACGGAACCAGAGGGGTAGCATGGAAGACACAAACTCTTTCATGTCGTGGACCACGAAGCAGCGTCCGTGAGGCTGCCATGAGATGATCTGGGATTGACATCCTTGCTCGAGTATATAGTGGAGTTTCATTGGGAAGGTTTGATCTCCAAAGCCAACCTTGCCATCGTCGCCGCCTTCAGGAGATGGATCTGGCTCTTGAGACCGGTCCACATAGTTATGGACCACCTTATCCCGAGGGTTGTTGATGGTGTTGTTATTACGGTGGCTCATGTTGTTGTTACTTGGACAGGCAGGAATAATGAAGGGGCTACAGTCGTACAGTGGTGAAGAAGAGTTGCAGTTTGTGTGCACCAGTTCTGAAACTCGGAGAGACAAGTTACTTGGCGAAACGCTAATATCCAAGAGAGTTGACGAAGCGATGAGATGCTTGAAGAGGGTTGCCTGCCATGGAGTAGAGGTGATTGACAGAGCTGATGTGGTGTCCGTCTCCTTTCTCTGCTATTGGTAGATTTCGCTGTAGCAGCCTACACAAGCAACGCAGACCTCTATCGTGGGATGGGCTATTGCTGCTGGTTGTTCTCTGGCTTGCTGCAACGCGGAAGACTCATCTTCAAGCTTTCTGCCCACTTTTGAAGTCCAGAAGAAGTACGTCATCAAAACACAGCTAAAAAATTGTGTTTCTGATTGTAACCCCCTTAATTTAAATTGGGGGTGGGATCTCTTTTAGCCCTTCAAATGAGATTGGCTGCCTCAGCCTCCAGCTTTGTGTAGAATCAATACTAAAAAGTTCCAACGCTAGGCATACTCCCAGGCAAAGAGCTCGATTGTGGGGCTTTTTAAAGTCTACCCCCTAATTTGAATTAGAAACAGGGGAAAACGGAGCGCTGACATCACTCCAATAGACACAACAGTCTCCGATGGCCCCAAGAAAAAAAGCTGTTCTAAAGTTCTAAAGACACAAAAAAAAGAAGCCCAAAATGTTTCACCGCTTCTGGATGTTGGAATCTACCACATCAACAGCCCCAATGCCCAAGGGCTGTTGTGGTTCCGTAGCAGTCGGTTATTACCAAAGTCGAGGCCTTCGCTGGCCACCAATTAAGCAGAGCCTTTATCAGGCACTGTCAGACACCAACGAAGCACCGGTAGCACCGGACACAGGATCTGTTTTCAATTTTCAAAGACGAGGTTCTTTTTCAAGGAGCTGCAACCTCTTAAAAGCCAACAGCTGAAAAATGTCAATCTTGGTGTGATCGTTGACGTCATCCATGTTCTTTCAAGAAATAGATTCAAGTTCGGGCTGAACGAAGGCTGACTGGGTGCAACGCGACGCCTTTGAGATCGGAAGTTGGAGGAATAGGAGGAACCAGAACCCTCCTCATGTTCACAGGTGGAGGACGATGGATGACGGACTTGGTGTTTGGAGGTTTGGAGGACGGACGAGACCACGGACGACGGACGGGAGTTCGGAGGTTGTTAAACACAGCTGAGCTGCTTTTGCTACCGTACCGGTACGGTATCGCTGCGACGTTGAATGAATCAACTTCCCACCCATCCGACGAGGACCAGGATTTGATTTTGAAGGAGGGTCTCATAGGATCCGTGGGATCAGGGGCAAGGACTTGTTGATTACGTCCATCTATCTATTAATACCGGTAGATAAAATTTGAAATTCCTTGTGCTGCAGGTTGGCTGCTTGTGACAAGTGCATCAAACAAGAAAAGGCGCAGCTGGATTGGACCTGTTGGTAACCACAGCCTGAAGGAAAGCAACTTACAAAGCTACAAGCAATCAAAGAACCACCAGAGCTCCGTCCATTTGCCTGTTGTGGGTGCCATGGTGACCACTGGCGGGGCTAAGTGAATGCGACGCACCAGGTACTAGTCTACATTGCATACTAGAAGTCCGTCAAGCGGTCAAGGGTGGCTTTGGAGCTCATAAGCACATGGCTGCATGGATCGCTCCACTACTTCTTCTTCTAAAGAAAGGAATGAGCACTTTGATGGAGGCTATTGCCTTGAACTGATGGAATTGCTGGAGACACAGGTTCTGTTGAGGGTTTCAGGATGTAAGAATGCAAAGAAGCAGGAATGTTTCGGAAAGTGGCAATGCGTCGATGAATTGCCCACAGCAAGTTCTGATGATGTGGGCTAATGTGGAACCCGTTTGTGACTGGTGGTATAAAGTAAATTAAAAACGAAAAAGAGCTTGTAAAATTGCAATTTGAGTAAAATTAGAATGGTTTCTGCAGTAATTCTATAGAACCCATTCGAACTCGTTCGAATTACATCGATTTGCAGCTGCACAACACCAAGGCCAAAACAGCTCGCTCGCTAGCTCGATTGCCGCTGTCTTCTCTTCCATTGCTCCACAACTACCTTTGTCCTCGGCCGGTACGTAAATACTCCAGCAAGCATCATGTCGTCCTTGTTGTTGTTGCTGCCCAAACCACTGGAAGACTGGTACATTCGCTTGGCATCCTCGCAACCATGGGACTCGCTGTTTATCATGGGGCTTGTGAGCGCCGAAGTCTTGTTGGGTTTGGTGATCATCGACAAGGTTCCGTACACCGAGATTGATTGGGAAGCCTACATGCAAGAAGTGTCCATGTGGTGGGACGATGGAATTTACGATTACCGACAAATTCGCGGTGGCACAGGACCCTTGGTGTATCCAGCTGGATTTTTGTACCTGTTTGCCATTTTACGGTGGATCACCCAGCAAGGGACCAATATTCGACTGGCGCAGTACATTTTCTTGGCATTCTATCTCATTCTGCAGACTCTGGTGCTCCTGATCTACACCAAAGCTGCGAGATCACTGTTGGTCACACGGAAACACCCAAATGGGTCCAATGACAGTACTACTACTACTACTACCAGACAAGCACAACTACAATCTGCCCATTCCATGTGGAGTTGGAGAATAGCCATGGGACTTTGTTGCTGTTCCAAGCGTTTTCATTCCATTTTTATGCTACGCCTATTCAACGAAGGACCCACCATGGTGTTGCTATACTGCTGTCTCTACTTTTTGATACACAACCATTGGAATTCGGCATGTTTAGCTTTCTCCTATGCGGTATCGATCAAAATGAACGTTCTGCTGTTTGCTCCAGGCCTGCTGCTATTGCTCATACAACAAGCGAGAGGGAATCTAGTTTTGGTGGTGAAACGACTCTTGGTGTGCTGTGCCTTGCCACAGCTCGTGCTGGGAGCACCCTTCTTATTGACCTATCCAGAGTCGTATCTGCGAAAAGCATTCGAGTTGGACCGGGTCTTCTTTTTCAAATGGACCGTCAATTGGAAGGTACGAAAATCATGTTGTGTGGTCTATTTGCTTGATTGAACTGTCTTGTATGGTTTTCTTGCTCATTGCTTTTTCAAACCTTGCTTGTCACACTCTTTTTCTGGTCTCCAACAGTTCCTTCCCGAAGATATTTTTGTCTCGAAACCATTGGCAATGGCATTGCTGGCGGGTCATTTGGGAACTTTGGCGTTTTTCGCGGTGCAATGGGTCCAAGCAGCCAACAACAACAACAAGACGCAACAAACACCACCAAACAGTAGTACCACACGATTGTCACCTCATTACATTTGCTACACCATGTTTGTGGCCAATTTTGTCGGAATTGCCTTTGCCAGAACCATTCACTACCAATTCTATGCGTGGTACTTTTCCAGTGTCCCCTTTTTGCTATGGAGCGGCACTGGCAGCGGTTTCTTCCATTACCCCATGCCCATCCGAATCTTGCTCGTGGTTGGTTTGGAGTATGCATTCTTGACTTTTCCAGCAACACCCACCAGTTCCAAAGTACTTCAGTTGGTTCATTTGGCCATTCTGCTGCAGATTAGACCACCCAAGCAAATGTGGGAACGACAGCAGCAACATGCAATAGCAGATGGTGGTGCCAAGGAAAAGAGGACGTGATGAATTAGCCAGTTATGACAGTTTGGTTCTGTGGTACTTTGTGCTTTCGTACGCTAGCTAGCTAGATGAGAGCTTCCTGGCTGGGTACTGTAGGGCCTACCGTATTCTATGCAAATAGGCAACAGTAAGCAACCAGGCCGTCGTACGGGTACCAGGTACATGTAGCTGAATTGAGACCGCGACCTCGATTCTCGAGGTAACGGTCAGAATTGTACCAGTTGAAAGACAATGGGGAGGTGAAAAGGAAGGGTCATCGAGGCTCTCAAGAAAGGGGGCCCACGGGCCCACGTCGCCGCTGATTCGATTCGATTCTCCGCCCGGACACAACAAAGGAGCAGTGGCAGTCCTCCCACAGAACCTGGCAACTCAAAAGTAGCTTCCGGCTACTACCCTGATGAGCCAGTGTCATACAACACGACGGCTTTCGAGGGTCTTCTAGCTAGACAACCAAAGAGTGCTTATTAAGCTATCCAAAGGAGCTAGCTAGGTAACAATAATGAATGCTGCGGAGCAAGACGACACGGAGGGTGGTGAACGATTCCAAAACAGAGGCCATCAAGATGATAACAACGATGACGGAGCCGGTCGTCGTGACGAAGAGGCTCCTTCGAGACCACTAGGACCGCATGATCCCAGGAGGATGAAACTAACCCACGAGGAACAAACTTGGGCCTTGAGAATCAAGACAGCAGTGGAAGAAACTCCCGATTTGGATTATCTTTCCGATTTCTGGTATGGTGCCTTGGCTCTCATTGAAGAAGATGATATTGAAGGGGCTCTCTGCAGAGCACAAGAGTTGCAAGACATCAGAAAAGAATATAAGATTGTCAATACTTATGCTGCTGCCAGAAGAACCTTTTATGAATCTATCAAACTCATTCCAGGCGAGTTCCTCACATTTTCTTACAACAGAGAGGAAGGGTATTATGTCCTTGCCTTTGACATGGCCAAGCAACCGACTGCAAAAACCTTCCAGTCTCAGAATGACGGCATGAACATCAAGCTTCGACAAATCTACTATCTCTGCCAAGTTTGCGCTCCCGACTTTGAAGCTATTCGGAAAGGTGTTGTTGTGCTGGTGGAATGCCAAAATGTCGACATGACGGTTGGGACTGGTAACATGGCAATGATGAGAAAATCTTGGCATATTATGTTGAATTATCCTTTCCGAGTGCAGAAACTCAAACACTTCCATACCGGTGTCTTTGCAAATCTACTTGTGTCTGGTGTGAAACGATTCTTGCCGGAGGATGTGCGAAACAGGTTCGAGGTCGGGTGTATCAGTGAAGGAGGGACACTGGATAAGATGTTTCTTCAACCAAACTTGGAAGTGGCAAATGAAAGATTCTTGGGGCGTATTGAAGCAACACTGGAGAGACGATTCTTGAATGAAGCAACTTTCCAACTAACGGGTGCCTCATAATTAATTGCCTACAGAGCGAGCTACATGTAGTTTGTGTTGCATCAGAGAAAATGCTGTATCAAACAACAAATTGGAACTAAATTTTTACATAGGTTGACACTCTCAAGTTGATTGATGTGAGAACTTGGGAGAATCCGTTGTAGCTTGTTTGGCTGTGCCGACAGAAGGAAAAGACATGGAGATAGGTTCAGCTTTGATGGGGTAGGCATTTGCGCTCTACCTCGCCATGGAACCTCATCAGGTATGTATACAGCTAACTAAAGGAAGATTTTGTAACGTGGGCGGCTTGACGGATTGCCTCTCGGTTCTGTACGGTAGCAATGTGGCTACATGTATAGTGGCTTTCAGAGAACACGAGCCTCCGAATTCATGACTGTCTAGTCCGTGAACTCAATTTTAGCATGGAATGATTGTGGAAAGTGGAAAGTGTAGGCATACTACAAAAGAACGGCGCAAATTCAGATTCACTGCTACTGCTACCATACAACTACGTTAGCTTTGCTCAGAAGTGAACTACCATGTAAAATGTACGTACCAGGTCGTGGGTTTAGCAGATCACCACCTTTGCAGTGACTACGCCGTTGCTCTACTAGTACCACTCGTTGGATGCTGTCTGGTGGTAGGAAGTGACTTAGATAATTTGCTGCTGTGTCAATTGGAGAGTGCCGTTATCAAAGGGCTCTCACAGGGCAATGGGCGTCAGTTTCTCTGTCTATTGGTGTTGCTTGGTCACGGTACCGCGGTGCGTCTCTTGTCTTTTCACGGTGCCCCCTAATTCGTCGTAGAAAGAAGAGGACCTCGATTGCATGGCTGGGTACCGGTACCTACCACGGTACCGTTCTGTAGCCTTACAGCGCTAGCGGACTCCGGTATCGGTATCGTGCAGCTTCCAGGGTAATAACTTCTCGTATGCTCTAGAGAGGGTGGTGGACTCGGAGGCTATCGCGGTGCATAAAGGGGGACCGTAACGCATCTCCTAGCACGTGCTTTTCTCTAAGTGTTCCATGGATGAATTTGCAATAATTCAGATGCTCGGTCAGGAGTCTTTGGTAATTAGGATGTATCTAGATGCTCCGTCACGAGTCTTAGTCCTACTTCAACATGTCACACGGTTAGCGCCATCGGTCGTGCTTTCACCAGTTAGCTTATGAGGCCAGGGTGTGGGACTCACATGAAATACACGCTGTGGGTACACGATGTGAGTACGGGTATTGAGTACTGAGTATACTCGATACCCATACTCACTTGACCCTCGAAAATGTGAGTAATACTCAATACCCGTACTCACATGACTCCGGAATCTGAGTACTTTTTGATCTTCGGTGAGTACTTCGGTGAGTACTTCGAAGTGAGTACCAGTGAGTACTCGGTGAGTACTCGGTGAGTATTTTGTGAGTATTTCGCCAACTCGCAGCCCCATAAATTTCCCATTTTCTCACATTGAGCTTTGAAGCCACTGTTGAGCCACTGTTGACTCTAGCTAGCCACTCTTTTGTTCTGTTGTCTCTTCTGTTGTCACCATGGCTGATGTGGAGGATGATGACATCTTGTCACAGGCAGCGATTGAGGAAGCTGTCAATGGAGCCGATGGATTGGAAGAACCGGAACAAGAAGAAGAAGGTGATATCGAAGAAGAAGAAGAAGATGAAGAAGCTGCAGCTGCGATGATACCATGGCCGCGGCAATGGGAACTGATTTGACTGCACAGTACGTGCAAGCCAAGAGTATTCCCACGCTCAGTCGCAAGCCACCCGGCCGTTCTGGCGTTTGGGAATGTTACTACAGTGTCGACATTCCCGACGCCGAACACTTGGAAAACCTCCAACTTTGGATGATTCGGCCTACCAAAAGATCCATCAAGGAATTCTTTCGGGGAAGCAATATGTGGCGTGTCGTGCATGCCTCGAGGATACCAGCAAGTCACTTTCCAAATGTCTATTCCGGCCAACCTACAAGAAATGTGGATCAGGTGGATTCGATGGCACTGGCAATCCTGGCAAACACCTTCGAGGACAACACTTACCAATGTATCAAGCAATCACAAAGGAAAGAGGTGCATTCCGTTACGACATTTGCCAATCGATCGGTGGCGGCTTTGCTGTAGGTCCAATGGCAGCCCTCCTGTTCCCCAGGAAGTACCGCAACAACATTCCAGCACAATCAGTCATAGTACCCTTTCCGAGCCAAGGTCTATGGTTCATGAAATGAGTAGAGAGCTGGAAAAAGCCAGGCTCTTGCATATTTCAAGAAAAACAGCATCGGTATGCTACAAACAACAACATTCCTCTTCGTGTTTTGACGGACCACAAAGCATGTACTGAATTCAGAGACATGATGATCTATGCCATGCAGAATGGAGCCGCTCTTCTGAAATGTCCCAACAATGGCTTGATGGGACGCATGGCCCATACAAACTACAGAGCCAAGGATTACCAAACTTTCATGGCTGCGGTTGGAATGCATCTAGGAGAGACGGACCAGTACTATATGAAACCAGTACTATATGAAAACTTTGGTTGTCATAAGTCTTTCCTTACTGTCGCTCATGACGTTTGGGACTCTAACAAGAAGGAAATACTTGGAGTGACGATCTTCTTTTACAACCCCAAAAGGGGTGTCTATCTAAGAATTCCCGTTGCACTGGCGGAATCTAAAGACAAGAAGGGAGAGCCCACCACGAATCAGATCATGGATATTCTCAAAGCTTTTGGTATTGAGGACGAATGATCTACAAGGCCATGAATGACACTACCAACACGGCGCTATTGGTGGGCCGCAACCTGAGTGAGAAAATGCCTACTGTGCCATGCATGAGATTCAGTTGGCTTTTTCCATGCCACCGGTCAAAGGAAACGCTACAAGGACAAGGTAGGTTGACGAGTTTGATGCTTGTCAGGCTATTCGAAAACAAGCCGAGGAAACCGCAAGTGGTTGGCCAACAAGAAATCGAAGGGAGATGGAAGAAGTTCACGGACACACTCTCTGCTGCTGGCCGGATACCCAGGGCCTTTTGCATGTCCAACCATACAAGGCCGGAGGAGAAGCTTTGTTCTACGCTTCGTTTATCAAGCTCGGTGGAACCTTCACCACTATTTCATTGTTGACGATACATGTCGGAGGTGGAGGATTCTAAGTACATGTCATGGCACAAACCTTGCGGTGGAATTCCCCATGTTGAAGCTTGTTTGCTTTGTCCAGTCGGACCACTATGGTGCCAATTCCTATACTGCCTATGGGACATACCGTGTGTTTGCTTCTTATTGTTACTCCAAGGTGGTTTGGGTGCCAGAGACTCGCCGAAGCAAAGCTACCAATGACACTGAAAAGTGGAATGGCACTGCAAGTTGGTACCCCACCAAGTTTGATGGCTCTCCCCAGTTTGATGAACCCAAAGAAGACGCGGAAGGACTTTACCTTCCTTCCACCACTGAGAGGATTGGCTTGAGGACAATCAAAGTCGCGAAACTCCATAAGATTCCACAGAAACTATTCCAGCGAATCCCAAGTGAGTTGCGACGCTATGTGCTTGTGTTTCAAGCTCTAAGCAGATGACAAACTCCTCGCCATGATGTGTAATCCTTTCGGTAAGACACACATGTTGACGACTTTGAAACACTTGCTACTGTTGTCGATGGTTCGGATACCCTCCCGGCAAACAAACTGATGGCAAAGGTGTTCGGCAGAGAGCCACGACGATATTGACGATCTGGGTCAAGCAGATGTGGGGAAACAAATTCGACCTAGCGAACAAGCGACTGCAAATGCAAGTCGAAGAAACCACAGGCCAAGCCACGAACCAACGACCCTCTTGCATTGGCAAGGAAGCCAAACGAAGGAGAACGAGGATACTCCTGTGGAAGAAGGAGTTGACCAATCCAGAAAGCAATCGACAAATGGTTAGGCGAAGACTTCAACTTGTTGGATGCTCTTCGGGCTCAGAAGCGGAAGCCTATCGGTAAAGATGTTCTCTCTACACTTGGCAATGAAGAACATTGCTGGTTGGACAACATTGAAGTGGTGAAAATCTACTTTGACTTACAAGAATGGTGGGAGACAACTGGCAAAACCAACCACCCAATCATTTATGAATTGCTGTGCGCATCTTTTCAATGCCAGATAGCAACGCTTCCAAGAAAGAGTTTTCAGTTCTTGTACATGGTTTGATGGAAAACTCAGCAATGGACAGAAGGTTGACATGACATTCCAAATGCGCCTTCTTTGCTACAAGAAAAGTGCATTCATCCAGAACTACAAGCAATGCCTCAATGTGCAAGAAAGGAATGGGCTAAGAATAGACCAAGGTCTCCTCAAGCTAACTGCCAGCAGATGTGAAGAGGAGGATTATACAGTGATATTGATGCCATGGTGGACCTTTACAACAAGATTGATGAGCCCCCAGCCAGAACTAGAAAAAACAAAATAATTTCCCTAAGTAATTGATTTATGAGTACTCAGTGAGTAGTCTATAGTACCCACAAAGTACCTGTACTCACATGATACCCGTACCACTTGACCCTGGGAATTGTGAGTATTACTCAGTACCATACTCACTTGACTTTGGAATTGTGAGTATACTCAGTACCCATACTCACATGCTAAAACAGTGTGAGTACCACGCCCTGTATGAGGCATCACAAACGAGCTTGGTATCTGTGGAGGTGGGAGATTACGCTAGCTAGGATTAAGGATAGGAAGGACTTACTTACGGATATTCGGAAGCTACTCAAGAGAGAAGTACCACCCTCAATCGATCTCGGGGATTGTCGATGCAGCTGGGATTGATAGACCTAGACGTTCACAAATGCGGAGCCTTGTATTCTTCAGGTTCTTGGTTTGCATTAGATCGCAGCTGGACATACTAATCAACATACAGCTCTCGATGGTTACCGGTTGATCAAGTTCCAGGTTATGATCATCCAATTCTTGGACATTGTAATGAGGAAACCATGATCGTATGTCTCTATCTTCACGGATGAGACCTTCTTCTGCTTCATGGATGAGGCAGCATAACTGCAAGTAGCTATGTTTATGGTGGTACGCAAAAGGCTTCAGTTATGAACTCCCGTTTCATAAACTCCACCATTGTCACATAGTCTGATAGAGTGGCACACAGGCTGGTTACGAGAAACATTGGACTTAAGAAACTGAAATAGTGAGACAATGGCGAACGACTTTGCTATAGCTGACGGGGTTCCTATGGGTTTGGAAGATATGCGAGGCATCCCTGTTGCGTTAAGACGGCAGGGGGGTACTGAGATCAAATGCCCTTACTGCGGCAAGATGCACTACCACCCTCCTGGCTCAGGGCATAATGAAGCTCAATGCGATGAGGATGATCGGTGTAGTGTCGGCATTGTTGTTGGTGAAAGGTCCTTTGTTCCTAACTATGGATATACTATAGTCGAATACCTTGAGAAGGACGGTGTCAACAAGATCCTTCCCATTGATGAAGACAGCCCTACTTCTGACGGAAACTAACGTTCCATCCATTTGTTATACTGGTAATCTTCTTTAGTACAGAAACTCGTAATGCAGTGGGTTTTTTCTCTTGCGTCTTTGTCTGTAGATTTCTTATTTGAGTTCTTGTTCTGGTGCGGCGGCTGCAGGGGGTTGTTGTCCAAAGATTTTCGACCTTCCATCTAGGAAGACGCCATTGTCGACGTATCTGTGTACCCTGTCGATTCGAAGGGTAACTACTTTCATCGTTCCTTATGAGCATTGGAAATGGGAGGAACATTGACCCGTGTAAGTTTATGGGGAGGATAGCAACGACGGGGATTGGTGTTCTTGCTACGGGTGTCTGTTTGGCCCATGCTTTAGGTGGTGTTTTTTTTTGACAAACAGCAGTCTGCACGACCGACAATATTTAGCACCTGTGAAAGTCTCTTCCGAGATCTGAAACTCACAGTTCCTTGCAGCTGAGGTTTGCAGGTTGCGACGCTTATGTCTTCTATATCGGGGTGAGCAAAAAGACGCTTTACATCGTCAGGATTGTGTCCTTTGAACCTGAAATTCCAATGCTTTGCTCGTGCGCCTATGCCTGGCATCTTTAAAGAAAAAAATGTGGGGGTTTCATGGTTTGCGCGATGGACTGGCATGAAGTTGAACGGCATGAAGTTGAATGGCACGGTTTGCGCAATGGACTGGCATGAAGTTGAATGGCACGGTTTGCAATGGGCTGGCATGAAGTTGAATGGCACGGTTTGCGCAATGGACTGGCATGAAGTTGAATGGCACGGTTTGCGCAATGGACTGGCATGAAGTTGAATGGCACGGTTTGGGTACGCTCAATCGCCGCGTGAGCTGAGATTGGATGCCTTGGTCCTTGCAACTCAATCGCCGTATGGCTTAACCTTAACCTTACTGCAGGAGGGGACCCGGGGACCGGCAAGAAATTCCGCTTTGAGTACCGTTCTTTATCTCTTCAGCTTGATTCCGTTTAATGCCGGTCCCCCGGTCCCCCCTTTTCAGGTTTCACTATAGGAAAAACAGTAGGGGGACCAGGGAGACCCGAGGGGGTAATAATAGTTTCGCCCTATTGATAACCTTAATTTTTTTGGTAGGGTTATCAATGGCTCACGCGCTACGCTTGGCCCCCTCGTGTTCCCTTGGTCCTTCTTTATAATTCGAGCAATGGGATATACATACATCCACCGTCTCGGAAGGACGTATTGACAGTTAATCCCGAACTCAGCAAGACGCAAGCTAATTCCGTCCTGGAGCTAGTTCATTATGACGCCACACCAATCCTTGGAGATTGTGATAGTGTAGTATTCGTCCGAGAACTCGCTTTGCGACGAGCTCGAGGTTTGGAAACTCACAAGCTCGGGAATCTCATATGCGTCCCCGGTAACAACAGCCGCAATGCCCTGCCTGTCCGAGTCAGCCTCGTCACCAGAAAAGCTATGTCGTGGACTCGATTCAATGTATCGTGTGCCCCTATGGAACCCAGAGTTAGCCGTTGGAAGTTCATCATGATTTTCGGCGCATGGCTCAGGGAAAGTGATCATTAGGCCTCCAAGTTCATGATTGCGACTCACGGTCGCAATGCTTGCAAGATATGAAAAGTCTACCTCCACAAACTGCTTCTCCATCCATGAATTCTGAAGCATGTACCAGACTTTTTTCGTCTTCTCATCAGTGCGAACTCCCACAAGGATAAGAGAATGAACGCCCACAATTTTGTCGTCCTGAATAGTGACGGGTCCCTCAAAACTAGTCCTGTCCGAATTCATGAAAACTTCGTCCACGAGAAAGTTACTGACCAGGCCTGGGCTCGTCGCGATGAATGCTTGTGAAGCATCCCGTAGACTATCCCCAATGGAGGATTTCATGAATGGTGTAAAGGTCCAAGTCCAAAAACGTGTTTTCTGGTTGTAAAGACATTTCAGGTTGTTAAGGCTCCGGGGAAGAGACACGTCATTGGGAAAATGCTCTGGGAAAATGAGTTCGCAGAGCGATCGCTTGTCCAAATGATTTCGGATGAACCTTGAAATGTTCGTATAGTGGCATTCACCATAGAGTGATCGGAATTTGATCTGATGATCGTAGTCTTTCACGGATGTGGCAGAAGTCCAGGTGCAAAGCCCTGTTTTCTGCACTCGGTAAATGGGCTGCAAGCCTTCGTTTGTCGTGAAAATAGTTCTTGCGTTGTTGTTGCTTCCGGACTTCCATGTAGGGTGATCCTCAAGAAACTGCTTGTACGTGTGTAGCTTCTCTGGTAGGACTGAAAAGGATCGATCTCCTCCTTTGACAGCCACGATGTTGTGGAGTTTGATGCACTTTCGCGCCTTGTCGACAAGCAGCTCTCCACACTCCTTCTTGGTGAGAGGTTCTTTCGAGGTTTCTAGCAAAGTTTTGTCAAAATCTTTCATGAACATGTAAGTAATCGTGGCATCGTCAAGAGTGGAGAGTGTGGATGAGTCGATTCCTAAATTCGCAGCCCTAGCAGCGTCCACGAACACGTCTGCATGTCCTTCAGGCGGTGAACAGTTCGCGGCCTGAAACTTGGAGGTGATGGGCTTTTTTGGAGTAGGAGCCACAACTTCGCAAAAGGCGTCCCACATACTGCAGTGTTGGTGTTATGTTACTGTGTGAGCGTGTGGTGTGCCGTGTGGTGGTGGTGATGGTGGTGGTGATGGTTGTGCTTGTTGCTGCTGCGTTCGGGTCTTTCGGGAGGCTGAATTGAGCGATGTCCTGAGTTGATTCTCGTCTCGTCTGATTGATTTCGCCAAATTTAACGGTCGCAGGTTTGCGGATCACGCTTCAACACATACATGCTAATTGTGATGCTGACGTGCACGCGGTGAAGGCGATGCTACATGTACCAAGAAGAGGTTACAGTACAACGCCATCACCGGCCGGCGAAGTTAGGTGGGCGTTGGAAAAAAGGGACGACGAAAAGAATCTACGACGTACCAAAACCGATCTGGGTCTTGCAAAACTCCGGTACAGTACCGATCATGATGAGGAAGGTCGAATTTGCGAGCTGCACGCTAAGATCGAAGAGCCACAGCTCGACATTAGACGCAGAGAAGAGCACCGATCATGACTTCTTGCTTTCGGCTTGATTGGGGCGTGTCCAAAATGCGCTTTCTGTCTTCAATGGTACTGTCGGCGCAACGAAGATGGAGTTCACCAAGTTTGGTGACAGCGTGATGGTATCGTGGATTGATGAGGAAAAGATTGATGAGGATGATGATGATGAAGACGGTGTCGTTGGGGCCTACATGCCTGATGCTTTCGACACTCCAGATCTCCAGCGAGGATTCATCACGGCTCTTAAAGAATTGATTGCTCTACCTGCTGAGGAGAGTACCCACTACATGTCGGAACAGTGGTTTCCGGAGTCTGAGTGGGCTGAGCGTGCACAACGACGACGCGAGGAGGAGAATGAAGAGGAGTTTGCCAGTGATGATACCGAGGAGTGAATGGGGTCAAGGAGGACTAGGAGTAACATTAATTTCATTAATAAATTAGGTGGTTGTTAGAAACCAAAGTGCGTGAGAATGTTGCGGGGTGTGTCTTTGGGAGGTTTCTTGGCTAGCATGCTTTCTGGGTTCTCCCAATCCTTGACAATGGCGGCTTTCATTAGGTAGCTAGGGGAGATACGTGCAGGAGGGTCTGGGAGCTCCTCTGTCAGATCGTGTAGAGCTTTCTCTGCTTGAAGTGTAAGCTGACGCTGCCATGCAACCAAATCACTTGGGTCTTGGGGAGGAGGACTGGGATAGCTGTCACAGAAATAAAGCATTACCTTGATTGCCTTCTTGATCCGTCTATAGCGAGTGAGGATTGGAGTCTTCTCGCTTGGAAGTTTCTTCTTGTACTCACTGCTGTTCAGCTCAAGATGATAGCCTTCGAGGCATTGGTCTGTGAAGTATCGAATGAACGTGTCCTTGAGAGTGAAGTCCTTCCTCCATTTCTTCTGGCCGTCTGAGAAGTACATGACTTTTGTTGGAGGTGGGGAAGCTGCCTCTTTCGTTTGTTTGTCGAACTTGATTTCAAGTACTTCGAGGAGCTTGTCGACTTTCTTTTCCATGCGTTGATTGCTACTTTCCAAGCGGTGGTTGCTGCGGGTGAGATGGGCGACATCAAGGCGGAGTCGGGAGACGTCATCTTCGAGGTTCATCTTTTGAGCAAATAGGGAATTGTAGGAGCTGCAAAGGCTGTTGTAGCGATCATACAGGGATCGGGGATCAACTTTTATGTCTCGAGTTGCATCTGGAGGTAGGAGGTTGATGGGTAGGTCCATGAAGTTGTTGATTCCAAACCCGTGGCGGACTTCTTGACACCAGAGGCTGAATGTGTCATGGGAGACATTTGCAAGATCTAAAGCCTTCTGGACTGCATGGACAAATGTGTGGCGTTGATTGTCTTCGTAGAGGTTGTCTGGGTGTTGGCCAATGATGTAAATGAACTCATCGTAGTGTCTGAGCAGCGTTGCAGTCAGTATGTTCCTGATGCTGGTGGGCCATCGCTCTCCAATGTCTTCACTGAATAGAGCTAGGATAAAATCGTTCACACACTCTGGACTGCTGCGGATTGATGTCAAGGTTGGAGCAATGCCTCCCATGATTTCATTGTCTTGTCGTCGTGTCCAACCGCTCAACGCTTTGCCTGCTTGGTTCGTTAGAGTCTTTGAACCAATGACATAGTCAAAAAGAGTATGGACTCCTCGCAACTCCCAACCGGTGCGAAAGACTTGGGCAAGTCCTGAGTTGGTTTCGGCTAGCTTCTGATTTGCACCTTTCCTTGAATGGTAGCAGGTGAGTTTGTTGTTGACTGTCTCCGATAGGGACTTGAACTCTTTGTAAAGTGTGTTGAAGCACTGCTGCCAAACTGAGGCAACTCGAGAGGCTGTCTTGTCGTTCTTGTCTATGGCTTTCGCTTCCCGGTTGAACTTGGGAAAGAGGTGGCTTTTGTTGCAGCCATCGACTAGTAGCGAGTAGATCAATCCAAAGTAGGGATCATCTTGAAGGGAGCTTCTGTGGGCATAGAGGTTCAGCTCCTGTAGGGGACCGTCTTTGTCTCGTTGGAGGGAGACAGACATCACATGGTACTTGTGCAGGTCTGAGATGGTGTCGACAATGCAAAGGTCTTCTAGTTTCAGCATTGAAACTTCACCTCCTCTTCCAATCAGGTGGTAGGTAAAGACATTGAGTCCATGGAATTCGGCGGCTTCAGTGGTTCCAAGCCAAAAACAGGCATTGGCCATGGCTTTCCTGTCATCGTCCGTGGATGCGACTTTGGGGGTTGTGATGCGTTGGCCTGTTCGCCGTGCTCTTTCCTTGAATTTGGTGAGGAGGAGGTTGCGGAGCTTTCTCCAGCTAGGGTCACAGAAGACGAGGCGAGGTTGCTTGTCCCGAAACCTGTTGAGGAAGTAGGCTTTAATTGCACTGGCATACCCGGTGGCAGAGTCGTACGCGAGGAGACCTTTCTTCTTGTTGAGATACTTGTAGGCGTTGAACGCTAGGTAGTTGAAGAAGTTTCCGATGAGATCGCTCCACCACTTCTCATGGTTGAGATCATGGATGCCTTCTAATCCTTCGTAGGGGATTTGCTCGACATCAGTGATTGGGTCGAAACCGGTGCGACTGTTGTAACCTCTCTCATCACAATAACCTTTGAGAAAGAAACTGAATTGTTTGATGGCGGCCGGGGTCTTGTTGCTTTCGCAGTTGTTGTCTCTCAGGTCAATAAAGCTGGGGGATAACTCCTCATCTTCAGCTGTTGTAATGATTGAGAGGGTGGAGGAGTCCATAATGGACTTTCGATCGTCGAACCAGGACTTTGTCGAGGACTTTCGTTGATCTCCGACGATTTTGTGAGGAGGGCTTTGTAAAGAGACTCGAAGTGGTAGGTACACGTACTCTGTTTCATTCCGAGGTGACTTCATTCCAACCGATGCTGTGACTGAACGTTATAGTAATTAGAGCTAAATCTGTCGCTTGGGATTACTTAGGGATCCGCCAAGTGTGTGGACTCACAACTTTCCATGGACTTTTCAAAACTTTCCAGCGGGTGCGAGCATTCAGTCATTTTTCTGGCTCAGTTCGAAGAAATTGAGCCACGTTTTGGTCAAAATGTTCAAAAGTACGTTTTGACAGTTTTCAGGAAGATACGATCTTTGTTGGTGTCAACCATACGTACTGTACGTCAGCCTCAAAGACACTTCATCTATGTTGTACAATGTTGCCGAGAGGTTGATGACTGCTAGGAGATTGTACGGCATGTGTTGTGTGCCCGGCCACTGGTACAAGTAGATAGTTTGGACGCTCATCATGGTGCTTCGCATCTATGCATATGTGTACTTGTTCTTGTGGGTCAATTTTGCCTTGGGATTTTCGGGTTCCAAGCTCCTCCTAAAACAACGAGGCCACAATGCTCCATCCAGAATAAAATGTCGTCGATTCATGGCATCCGACAATATGGAGCGCGATGACGACCAGGACCAACCCCGACTTCGAGTCGTTGTGGTCGGTGGTGGAGTAGGAGGCCTGGCAGTGGCTGCTCGCATTGCTGCGACTCGTCCATTCTGTGATGTCACTATTTACGAGAAGAACAAAGAAATCGGCGGACGAAGTGGATCCTTTGATGTGACCATTCCCAACGTGGGGACCTTTCGGCACGAACGAGGTCCTTCTCTCCTCCTACTGCCGCATGTCTATCAGGAAGTGTTTCAAGATTGCTGCGCTTCTGCTTCGACATCATCATCATCATCATCAGGAGAGCAACTGGCACAAGAGTTTGGTCTCGTCATGCGACAGTGCACACCTGCCTATCAAGTCGTGTTCGATGAGGACGACAACAGCAGCAGCAACAACAGACTCGATGTGGGCTTTTCCAAGCAACTCTGCCAAAAAGACGAGAGAATAGCAAAGCTCTACCAGGAATCTAGACAAAAGATGGACCAATTGGAGCCCAATGGTGCAGAGAAATGGGATGAATACATGAGAGCCACCGCGGCATTTTTGGATTGTGGTTTGCCCAACTTTATTGAGGAACGATTGGATTTGGGGTCGTTTCCTGCATTTATCTATGAGGCTTTGCGAGACTTTGGAAAGGTGAGACTGCTGCTATCTAGCTAGTAGGCCACCGAGAAAAAAGACATCTCACCTGCTTTACAAGTTTCTCAATAATTCCTGCTGCTGATCTCAATTTGTGCAACTGACACAAGGCTTGGCCGTTAAAGCCCCATTCCGACGTGCTAGATGCCATTTTCGACTCGGAAAAGATGCGGGCGTTAGCATCCTTTCAGGATCTGTACGTCGGACTTGAACCCTATCGAAACAATCAGCAGCTTGGCGCCGGAGTGTTGACCACGACAGCACCTGCCGTCTTTGGATTGCTTGCTGCCATTGAATTGCATCCTGACAATGACAAAGCAGGTGGTAAGTGCAGACGGTATTGCATACCCTGTCGATCTATGATTTGCCCTTTACCTTACATGGTTTTTGTTATTGCGCGATGTGGCTTTAGTATTTGCCCCCATTGGCGGATTCAAGTCTGTCTCGGAGTCACTTGCAGACTTGGCCAGAGCAGTGGGTGTAACTATTGAAACTGGCAGAATGGTCACTCGAATCGATTCATCTGGTGTAGTACATGTACGCCGCAACGATACAGACACAGCAACTACAGGGTCAACAAATACAGACAGTTTTGTCTCGGCAGATCTTGTCATTGTCAATGCAGACCTCCCATATGCATCAAAGAGCCTACTGCTAGAACAATCTGCAAAAAAGGACGAAGAAGACCCGTCAGCGGAACCTCGCTTTGATTGGGACGATTCCTTTTTGTTCAGCAGCGGTGTGGTTGCGTTCCACTGGTCCATCGACAAGGAATTGAATGATTTGAATACGCACAATGTCTTTCTGGCAGCTGCAAACGGGCGCGAAAGGGCGGAAGAGAGTTGGCGCATCCTAAGAGGCAAAGAGGGTGGCTCAAAGGTGGAACCATTCAACTTTTACGTGCACTGTCCCACCAAGATAGACCCATCAGCCGCGCCTGAGGGCTGCGATTCAATCATGGTGTTGGTGCCATGCCCAACTCTGGAACGCAAACCGGAATTTGCCACACTATCAAGAGATGAAGCTATCGAGGAATACAAGAAGCAATTTGACAAAGACTACATTTCTGCGTTGCGAGAGGCTGTCTTGAAACGATTTGCTGCTATTCAATCCTTGGCGGACTTGGAAGACCACATTATACACGAAGTTGTCGATACACCTTCCACGTATGCAGATCAGTATCATGTAGGGGCTGGGACACCTTTTGCTCTGAGTCATGGCTTTGGGCAGCTGAGCCTCACCCGTCCGGGGGCAAAATTTGGATTGAAGCAGGATTCCAACATTCTGTATTGTGGAGCCAGTAGCCGGCCGGGAAACGGCGTGCCCTTGGTCCTCATTGGCAGCAAATTAGTAGCCGACAAGGCACAATCACTATTGGACGATATGCTACTAGTATGCCAAAGGTGACAAAGGTTGCATTCTTTGCTGTGGCCGGCATGAACTGTGAAACGATCTTCTGCATGCTTGAAAAGGGGGTCTTGCTTGTCATCAATATACCAGCCATGGTGCATCCATCATCAATACTGTACCGCTACTAGCTAGCTAGCTAGTACTTGTAGATTGCTATTATTAGACTCTAACTCATTTATTTTCCAATGCAGGAGCGATTTAATTAAAGGATGGTTCACAGTTCACAGCCAATGGACGATTTAAAGTCCATTTTACTTTTACTACTGTAGCTAGTAAGGACAATTCACACTTTCACAGAGATTAATTTTATTGGTCTTAAGCTGTACGTAGTACCGTGCTAATTGCACTCTCAATAAATCTTGGATCAAATTCCTTCGAGACCCAGCGACCCGGCCCCTCGAGCTTGACAAAACAGTGAAGTTGTTGTCGACTTGTGACCTGTAAAAGATCAGAAAATAGATACAGGAGCAGGATTTAGGATTCGATTCAGCAGGTTCCTGTCCTTGATGCGTTTGCTGGGCATCACAAAGGTGCTGGTGTGCTGGTACCGGTACGCTGGTACTCGTGCTCTAAGACTGATTACAAGCTACATGTAGTGCTCCCAACTCCCAACTCCCAAGTACTGGTACTACCGAAGTCCGTAGCTAGTGCTCTTGATCAGCAAGTCACCTCTAAGCCAATATTCTGAAACCACCGAAATAATGCTTGTTCTCCGTTAGCTTTGTCGTGTTCAGTCTTTGACTTAATGCGTTTCGGCCCACTATTCTCTTTTCGACAACCAAATTCTAGTTCAATACTCTTTCCATTTGATCTTACAGTCTTTTACTTAAATCATCAAACAATTTTAATGCCAGGAAGGTCATAAATTTTAAACGACAGAGAAGACCATGGCCAGTATACACCAGTACAGTACTACTCAGTATACTCTATGTAGAGAGTTAAAAATGGAGTTGTAGCTGGTGTAGCTACCGGTGGTACCGCACATGAGTTCGTACATGTACATGTATGAGCTCATGTATGTATCCACTAGTACTCCTACTAGCTAGCTAGATAGACATTTCGCGCGATCTTTTGTTTTGGGCAGTCACAATTCACACTTGCTTCACAACTTCTGCAAACGGTCGCACTATAATAGTACCGGGAGCTTTTATCACAAGAAAGCTCATTATTTTATTTTTCCTGCACTGAAAGACTAATAACTACTAGTAGACTAACTGCATCAGCAAGCAAGTACTAGTATGACGTTCTCAAGCTTTCGTAATGGCTTGAGAGAAGAGCAAGCTGTAGTCAAGGATGACTTCTCAATCACTCGATCTCTGATGAGCATGGGCACTACGGACGATGGAACACGCTTCAAAATTGAAGACTCTGGTGATGATAATAACAATGGCGCCAAATCCACTGGCATTGTTCGGGGGGAGCAAAAGGTTATCATGTGGACCAAGGCATTCTTGTTAGGGGCATTTGTGATTGCCATTGTGGTTTTATCTGTGGCTACCTACAAGTATGTAAAAGACCAGGAACAGAAGACGTTTGAGAACGAGGTGAGCCTTGGTTGTTGGTTGCTGGTTGCTGGTTGCTAAAATGTTGTTACTAATAACCTGCTTGTTGCTCTCAATCGCTCATCTCAATGTTTGTCAGTTCCGCAATCTGGCTCGAAAGGCGATTGCAGTTTCGGGAAGAAACGTCAAGAGCCAATTTGCGGCGCTGGAGCTCTTTAGCATCTCGATCAGCTCTATGGTGACAGCTTCCAACATGTCCTGGCCGAAAGTGGTAGTTCCTGATTTCTGTGCTCAGGCACAGAGACTGGTAGAGATGACTGGGGCCATGAGGATAACCATGGCCAACATTGTGGAGGAAGAAGACCGTCCGTCCTTTGAGGAGTACATGGCGCAAAAGATGCCTCAGATCATTCAGGGTCAGATCGATTATCAGCAGCTGAATGCATCAGTGACTGAGCTTAAAGGCGTACCCAGTGTTATACATGCTTTCAACTTGACCACGAGAACCAAAATACCCGAAACACGACCGGGTCCCTACCTTGTAAACTGGCATCGGTACCCCTTCTCTTTGGCTCAACCAATCTTCCAGGGAAACAACTTGCTGGCAGTCAAATCCAACAAAGAGGGATTCATCTCTTCCAATGCCACCGGAACTGCCACTCTGTCATTTAATCGCCTCGATACTGGTATGGCAGGTCAAATCTTTCAACCAATCTTTGAAAACGTCGAAGGGGGCAAGATTGTGGGGGTTGTCTGGTTGTATACACTCTGGGAAAACTTCTTTCGCAAGGTTCTTCCCCCTAATGTTGTTGGGATGATTGCAGTCGTCCGAACTTCGTGTGGGTTTGTCGCCTCTTTTGAAATCAATGGACCTGAAGCAACAAACATTGGCTTCATGGATGCACATAATCCAAACTTCGACAATTTGGTAGTGGAGGGAGAGCTTTTCAGCTTCAGAGTAGACGACTCAATCGTCGTTCCTGACGATTTATGCGTCGACACTTTGACTATTCAAGTCTACCCGTCAGATACCACGAAGAACGCGTATATGACAAACGAACCTGCTCTGTTTACAGGCATTGTCATTATCATATTTACTGTGACGGCGGCTCTGTTCGTCTTCTATGACTTTGCCGTGAATAGAAGGCAGATCAAAGTGATGCTCAGGCTCACTCAACAAGACAAAATCGTAGCTGACCTCTTCCCGCAACAAATCATGACTCGACTCTACAACAATGACGATTCCGTGGGCGAATCTGGAATACTGAGTGCAGGTGATGAGCCACAACTTCAGAAAGAGAAGCCACCAATTGCGGATCTATACCTGAACAGCACTGTGATGGCAGCAGACCTTGTTGGCTTTGCATCCTGGTCAAGTCAGCGCCAGCCCCAAGAAATCTTCAGGCTGTTGGAAGTCTTGCATGGAGAGTTCGACAAAGTAAGTGCTGGTATGGATCCCTCGACTCTTTCTGCTCTGCTGATCTATCTAACCTTTGCCCTATTTGATAGCTTGCTCGAGAGTACAACGTTTTCAAAGTGGAAGCAGTTGCGGATTCCTATCTGGCTGTTACAGGAGTCCCCGACGCGGACCCAAAGCACGCTCTCCATATGGCGAGATACTGCCGTGCTCTTGTTGAAAGAGCTTCTCGGCTAACCAAGAAACTCGAGATCAAGCTGTAAGTCTCCTGATGCTTTCTTTGTGAATGTTATAGACAACAGAATTGGCTCAAATCCTTCCGTGCTGTGTTGCAGTGGTCCTGACACGGGGGATCTTCAAATCCGCATTGGTCTCAATTCCGGGATGGTTACGGCCGGAGTTCTACGTGGGGACAGGGCTAGGTGAGTATTGTACTGGCTGTCATGCAACGCGTCGTATTGTGATAATGCTCACCAATGATCACAGATTCCAGTTGTTTGGTGCAACCGTTACCCTTGCTGAAATGATGAAGAAGCAAGGAAGAGGGGCCCGTATTCTCATGTCTGAGGCCACCGCGAAGCTCATCGAAAAGGCTGGAAAGAGCGAATGGGTTGTCCCTCGCACTCAGGACATCACTGTCGACGAGGTGCACGGAAGGGTCACGACGTTTTGGCTTCAAAACCGTGGAGATACAAAACTGTACAAGTACAAGGCCGTCTCTGCAAGCAATCAGAAACCAATGGGACACATTCAAGAAGGTGTGGTGGGCACTGGAGAGGATTTTTCGAGTCATAGCCTGCTGGACAATGATCAGGCTGGCCTCGAGGGTGTCAGCGAAATGAGTAAGATGCAGCGCCTCGTGGAATGGAGTGTCGAAGTCTTGGTTGAGCTCCTAGAACAAGTAGTGACTGCTCGAGCTTTGAACCCGGGGTCAGTTGAATCGTATGCACCCGTGTCGGCTCTAGAGTCATCCTTTGGTTTGCAAACCAAAACTGTGCTCGAAGAGTTCCAAGAGATTATTACACTCCCTAAAGCAACTGCATCAGATCTGCAAGTGCGCCAGAACAAAAAGCGGGTTGAATTGCCGACAATGGTGAAGGGGCAACTTCGGGGCTTCTTGACAAGAGTCGCGGGCATGTACCGTGCAAACAGCTTCCACGGTTGGGAACACGCAGTGCATGTTACGTCTTCTGTGGTCAAGATGATGAGGCGTATCGTGGACACGGACAAAAGCAACAAGAAAACAGTTGGCCAGTTCCAGCCACTGGAAAACGACGATGCGTTCAATGACCAGTTGACCATCAAAGATTTGGCCGGGCACTCTTATGGCATCACTTCTGGTAAGCGTGGGAAGCCGAATTGAAGGTTGCAATCTCCGCCCAACTCACCGCCTTCTCCAAATCTCATTCCAGATCCTCTCACTCAGTTTGCAGTGGTGCTGTCATCAATTATTCATGACGTGTAAGAATTGGAAAGCTGGATCGATGTGTTTCATTCTAGAGTTTCTCTCACGGTTGCTTCACTTCTCGCTTTACATCCTCAGTGACCACCCCGGTGTAACCAACGCCCAGCTGGTGTCAGAAGGAAATTTTCTTGCCTCAAAGTACAAAAACAAAAGTGTGGCTGAGCAGGTAGGCAAACAAAGACCCTGATCTTACGCCGGTTTGGTTTCGCCAACCAAGATGCCTAACGACTACTGATTCGTGATGCCGTGTCAACGAAACTGCAGAACTCGGTAGACCTTGTTTGGGATCTACTGATGGAGCCTGAATACACAGACCTTCGTCGGTGCATCTACACCAACGAAGATGAGCTTAGAAGGTACGAAACAGCTAGTCGTCGAGTCAGAAGCCTCCTCCTACCAGATGCCTTATACTTTTGTCCTCACGCTTTGTACGTGTACTGTACGAACCAACCACAGGTTTCGTCAACTAGTCGTCAACATTGTGATGGCAACAGGTACGTTGAAGCGCAGTGCATTTGAAAAGGACGCTATCATATGTTTCTCAAGTGTTGTTCTTCCTGCTCTGAAGACATCACGGACAAACAGTTGGGTGATCTTAGGAAGAAGCGATGGAACCTTGCCTTCTCCAAAGAAGCAAGCAATTTGATCTCGCCAGAAGGTGACATGGATAGGAAAGCGACTATTGTTTTGGAGCATCTTATTCAGGTATGTCGGTTTCATTGAAAAGGTGCTTCCAATCGTTGGATAGGAATGACTGACTATCTATTTTCCACCTGCATTGACTCGGACGTTGTCACAATAGGCTAGCGATGTTTCCCACACGATGCAACATTGGGATATCTACCTGCTGTGGAACGAGCGGTTCTTCCACGAGTGCTATAGTGCTTACACGGCTGGAAGGGCTGCGTCGGATCCCTCGTTGGACTGGTAAGTACCTTTCGAGAATGACGGCAGCAATCACTGCGTCGACAAGCCCTTATCTCCGTTGCCGCGTCACGTTTCTCCAGGTACAAGGGGGAGATTGGATTCTTTGACTTTTATGTCATACCCCTTGCAAAGAAACTCGAGAGCTGTGGTGTCTTTGGGGTTTCGAGCCATGAATACCTTGGATACGCAGAGGCGAACCGAGCCTTGTGGATCCAAAAAGGAGAGGAGATTGTGGAGGGGTACATGAAAAGGCATGAAGAGCAGCAAGCGGAAGTGAACACAAGCGACGTCACGCCGCCAACCATCGAACCAGAATGTGCTCCTGACCTGGAGGGTACCTCCGGCAAACAAGATGAGGTCGATCTTGAGATGGGAGACGGGAGCGCAGATTTCGATGACGAGTTCAGCCTTTAAAGTACGTAAGCCTTCGAGAGGGGGTGAGTTTTGACTCTGGCTAGCGATGGAGTATCGGGCACCTTCAAAGTGTGCTACTTGCACAAGAATTAGATTGGAAAACACAGTGTTGGGGGCGAACCCGTCCGACAAAGGGGCATTCGTCTGTGGCACTGGATTGCACTGCATTTATATTTACATTATTGACTTGCCATGAATTAAAGCGGATAGTTTGAAGTTGACCTTCGCAAGCAATCTCATTCCTGATTTCTCAATGTAATGGCGCTGTTGCCATGGCTAGCTATAGAAGCAGTTTTTGCTCGAGGGACCATCACTTGACAGAAAGGTAGTGATGTTGACAATGCGAAGTTCAGCGCACAGATACGGTACCGACATTATTGCAGTCATCATTTCCCTTTCTCTCCCATCTGCTCTGATGTTAATGTAGAATCCCACTTCGCAGATGCACTTGTTGCATGACACGCAGCATCGCTGATACGGGTTGTTGAGCGTCATCTCCTGTCGACGACTTTGCGCCCCAACACACTGCACCAAAGACAAGTACAGAGTAGCCAATCGCTACTGCAGCCATGACCAAAATGACAGTACTTCGTGGATCCAACATCGATCGTTCTTCCACCATGCCATACCATGTCGATGCCCATGAAGACGAGCTGCTCTCATCGTCGTCACCATCATCACGGATGCCCCGCTGCTCAGTTAAATGTAGTGTCACCAAGAGGAGACTGGTGGTATCATCTTGCGTGGTTCCATAGGACGACAGCCGTCCTCCGTTGTCTATCGGAATTGCCTCAACCAACGGCACCGCGTCTGCGCTGGTGGCAGCTACTCCTGTTGACCTCGTCATGTTCCGCTGTCTTTGTTTGACTTGAGAGAGAGGACTTTGGCTATTGCGGAGGCTCATTCATCTTCCCTTGACGTTGAAGAAGAACAGGGAGAACAGAACTTCTGAAAAAGCTCAGTTTTCTTTGGAATTCCTACGCAGCGTGGAAACTCCCTGACTGCGTCCAGCGCAATGATGGACATCCGATATTGTGTTGACTCACTCCTTCCGGCTGTAGGTACCGGTAGGTAGATATCATAGAGGTAAGCAAGCTTGGGTGCAAAGTCTCAGATACTCATTGCTTCGGAGAAAGAGCAAAGCCTGATCTCAACCAACATGGGCCGAATCAATCACAACCACGTTCGATCCTCACTCTTGCTTGCTTGCGTCGGAGTGGTTTCCTTCATGCTCTCCAAGAACCTTCAACGGCAAGGGTTTGTCAAGGTTTCGAGGCATGGAAAAGACACAGTTGGCTTCATACAGAATGCTACCAGCTCCACATTGATGATAGGCAGGCGATTTAAACATCATCACCGTGACGCTCGTTCTTTTTTCTTGCAGGAGCTTCAACACACGCTGAATGACCCTTCAATTCACCTGTCGCCCAACACTGAGCGTCCGTGGTTGCAGTTTCACTCGAACAATGCATCCCCAGAGGACACAACCATGGAACCACCCAAGCGCAAGCTTGTCTTGACCGATCTTGGATGGAACAACCCCAACAAAGCAAAAGGATTGTCAGAGTTTCCAAGATCCTTGAGGACAAGAGCAATCTTGCAAGCCTTCATTGACCACCCTGACTTCGATCCACAATTTCATTGGCGGGGCATGCTAGAAGGCAAAATTCCAATCGATATATCCTTGCACTATGTTGTACTGCTGGATATCGAAACTTGCTTTGAGTCCAACTATCCCAACAATGTGGCAAACTTCCACGCGAATGCTGATACTCGCATGGGAAGAGTAGTCAATGATAAGGGAATCAATCCATGTTACAGAATGGGCGGGTGCAGAAAATACATTCAGCATGTCCTTGAGTCGCCCTTGTTCCAGCAAGCCAATAAGTCGACACTCTTATACCTTCTTTGTGGTGGCAATGGACCAGAGCATACAATACGAAAGCAAAAGATCGCTTCAAACCAACTGTCTGTCTTGGCGCTCTCTGCTGGTCCAGATATGCTACATGCAGACTCGGATATGGGTCTGCCGCCTCCACCCATCCATCCAGTCACTCTCAGCCACCAACAACACCAGGAAATTATGTCTTGTGGAAGTGAATCTGATGACAATCGGCCCTATCTATTTTCTTTTGTGGGAAGGCATCGGGGGAGCAGTCCTCGCTCAGAACTCTTCAAGCTACACAATGGGAATGATGTGATTTCCATACAAACTCCAAATTACTTGGAGGCCAAACAAAAGGGTGAGATAAATGAAACCTACCCCAGTCTCTTGAAAAAGAGCAAGTTTGGGGCTGCTCCTCGAGGAGACAATAGATTCTCCTATCGTTTTACTGAAGTTTTGAGTGCCGGGGCCATTCCTGTGATCTATTCTGATGGATGGGTTCTGCCTTTTCGGAAAGAACTTGTGGATTGGAGCAAGTGTGCCATTGTAATCCCTGAAGATCAGGTTAGTCAGACCATAGGAATCTTGAAAGACATTACAGAAAAACAACGCTGCAGAAGGAGGCAATACTGCTTTGGCATCTATAACAAGTACATGGCCAGTCCTGGAGCCACTCTTGCAGGCATATTGGACAGCCTTGAAGCTGCTCAAACCTAATCCCAATACTTCAAGTTAATCTATAAGTTTCCTGCTCAAGAGGACGATCTGATCCCGCGGTGGTGTGACCATAGTGACGAGCGTCAACTTCGATTATACGGACTGTCCCTGCTTTCACGAACTGCCAACAGAAAAGTCTACCTTGTAATGCTGTATCTCCCCTAGCTAGATGCAGATGAAGGATATCGTTTCCGTAGTGTCTCATTGCCAGCGGGGGTAACTCGTGACGCCCAACGCCGGGTATGGTTTTCTAGCTGGCCGTGCGGTCGTCCGCTGTGGCCTACTGGTCAAAAGGTCTCCACGGGGCCAGAAAAGGTCAGGATCGTCGAGAATGTCAAAGGGAGCGAATGCATCGTGGAGTCCGAGAGCTGCTCGTCGTTAGGCGCTCTTGCGAGAGACTGTGTGTTATCGGCTCTTCTATGATGGAGCAGACACCCTAAGTCAAGCTCGTTATACTTTTACGCCAATGTGCCGATTGATCATAACTCGGAACTCGTGCGGCTTGGACTTGCCTCCTTCATTCGGTAGTTTTGGCTGTCCTATAGATAGCACAGAATGCCGCGTGCACTCCAGCAACTTTCGCCCTCTGTTGCCAAACCTGAACTCTGGCGTGACGACCCTGTTAGGAGCCTCGTAGTAATGTGCTGCATCAATCCAGTGACAAGAAAAAGTGCACTATATGGTAGTTAATCACTGATGATGATGATGCCCGTAGCTACAGAAGATGCAGGTGTGGGTTGGCCTAAAACACACAAGTACATGGATATATTTCATTCCACTCTTCATGAAACGACAACCAAACTAATACCCTTATTCTTCTCCACTCCACAAAAGCTGTGATTTGTCGTGTATCATTCCAAAAAAGAGCTGTGTGTCTTATGATTTTTGTTTCAGTTCGCCTAGACCCTCGCGGACAGCACACTCGGCGACCTTTGCCTGGGAAAATCTGCATGCCTTTACAGATTCCGTCCACCCAGCTTTCTTGACACAGGCATAGTGCTCCGCGTAGAGTTCAGCACAGGGTCCAGCCATCAAATCCGCCTTTACTGAATTATGGCATTCCATCACCTATAGAGTTTATAAGGAGTACGAGATCAGATGAGTCCTTCGGCTGAATCCCAGACCCTAGCTAGAACTATCAGCAGTTATACCTGGCTTACCTCCTTGCCTTCCGATGCACTCTTTGTTGGGTGTTGTCCATTTCGCTTCTTGGCAATAAAAGAAGCATTGACATCCGCACAGCATACTGCTGTTGCCTGTTCATATCATAGCAGAAAGCGGCCGGCAACACAAAGAGTAAGATGCCATGCTACTACCATACTGGAAAGATGTGCGTCAGTGACACCAGCTAGATTGCTCCACCTACCGCGCAGAGTGCTGCCAGTTCATCGGCCTTCATTGGTGTCGGTGGAGCCATTGTGGAGTCGAGTCAGTTATTAGCCCAGGGTAAGATGGGTTCAAAGGGTAGGAAAGGAATGGTTTGCCTGCCGTCGGCGGCTGTTGTCGCCATTGGCAGTGCGATCTTCGTGTTGGGCGCAGCCAACGTGCGGCTGACATCACACGGGAATAGTTTAATCACGAACTATTACACCCGTGTGGTCGGTTTTGGCACCGGCTCTTCCTATTTAAAAAAAAAAAATAAGCTTGTTGGGAAGAAAGGTTTCCAAAGAGAGTTTCTGGAAATCGGCTCCCATTTTCAGCATCTACCATGCCGGACACCAATAAAACGATCACCACCACAACCAAAGGTGAGTAGCCAACAGTCTGGAAGTCTCAGCGAGACAAATCAGTGGTGGACAAGCTGTTTTCCAGCAAGGAAGAACGCCAATTCATCATTCCACACATTCACGAAATCCTTGGAGTCTGTTGTCTGGTGTCCTTTGCTTATCGATATGCTCATTTGGGAGCAGCCGATGGAAACTTTGGACCCAACTTTGGCACGCTCTGTTTCATTGTGCTTCATTGGTCCCTCCATGCCAGTAGCTTCATCTTTGATATTCCCAAGAAACGAATCCGAGAAGGATATCGGATATGGCCAGAATATAGGTGAATACTAGATTGCAGTATTTACTTCTATATTCTATGGAAGCTGAAGAAGTGCTTACTGTATTGTACCACTCATCAATCTGTATGCCAACTCATGCATCTACAAACAGATGGCATGCCATCGGCTTTACTTCCAGATCACTGGCCTTTATTCTACTCATGTGGCAAGAACAAATGAATGGCATTCTTCAAAACTATCCTTCCACATCCAAGGGATGCTACCAGGAAATGGATCTTGTCATTGTACTAGCCACCTGTGCCTTTGCCGATTTCGGATCCTACTACGTGGAACGAGACAACCATTCCAACACTGTTCGAGGCATCACGTTTACGGATCCATTTGAACAATGGTATGCATCGGAAGTGCAAATCTATTTGACTGCCTATTGCATTGTGGGATACCGACGGTACACATTACATTTGTTGGCAATCAGTATCATCCAGTGCAATGCCTTCATGATGACCATGCGACGCAAAAATGTAGCTCCACAAGGTGCATTGACTGCCATCTACAGTCTCATGCTAGTGGGCGCCTTGGTGGCCATCACGTATGATGACCGATTCAGCCATCGAAGCGGTGTCGGGGCTACGTTTGGAGGAGTGGCATCCATATTGCGCCTGGGCTTTGGGGTCAACAAGTACATGTATATCCTATGGACAGTACTGTGGTTGGTATGGTATTACATCCGCATGAATCAGCTTTTGCCCTACTTCAACACCATGTTTTGGCTGAATGGTCTGGTCATTACCTTGATTATAAGCACCAGTTTGGGATTCATCAAGCGATCCAGGGCTCCCAAGGAGAGCCGGAATTCTGTGGTTGCCTTTGTGGCCTTTGCATTTCATGCTGTCCTTCTGGGTTACCTATATTGGATGAACTTTGTTCGCACCCAATAGAGCAGATGCCTGCAAATGACGGTGATGATCAGGTCTTGGGAGTACCGGTAGAGGCCAAGCTGACCAATCCACTCGTGACGAAACCGTTGGCAACGAATGCGGACCTCTCCACAGTCCAGCCAGCCAACGCCGAATGTCGTCGCGACCGTGTTAGTCGGCAAGGCATAAGGTACGGAACCTACTGCCAGGACAAGCGCAGCCATTCCAGAGCAGCACCCGACAGTCCGTATCCCATAACGCTCAACCACGATGTGGTGTAACCATCGGTACCAGTGCACGTGCAGACTTCGGAGGAAACCATTTTTAAAATTGATCCTTTATTAATCATGTTTGAGTTTGCTTGCTTGAGTCACCCAGAACCGAAGTTTCTGTGCCCCGTCCTCTACATCCTTTCCACATTCTCCTCCCCTCCAATCGCTCTTTCAAATTAGGACATATTTGTCAGACATCCCATTCTTCATCACAAATATCTTATGTGGGAAAATATAGGTTGTCGTCATTCATATTCCAGCAAGTCGCAGAACTTGCTTGTGTCATTTGCAGTTGGCAACAGTTGGTTGTAGAGACGTGTGAAAATTCCGTGTCCAACGTGTCACGAGAATTCTCCAATTTATTGTTCCATTGTCGTTTCCCAAGCAAAACCTTTATTCTTTTTTTTCTTTTTTCTTTTGTTTTCTTTGTTCTCAAGCCATGTGATTTTGGATTGTTACATTACAGTTCATCCCCCGTGGTGAGTGACGACAAAATGCGGAGTCGCTGTACCAACCACTGCTTGAGTTCCGGTTTCATCTTTCCATCCTTCATGGCATCCAATCGGTCGAGTTGTTTCTTTCGATCGTCCACCGATTTCGCCTTCATTTTTTCAATGTACGCCTTTTCCTTGTCACTGCAGTCGCTATCGTCCGGATTGGCCGGATCGCATTTGACCTCGAGTGTTTCTTCGACAAACTTTTTGAGACTGTCATAGTCACGTCCTCCCTTGTAATCTTCTCCTTCCCAAAGGGCTCCATCTACAAAGTACTGGATCGTAGGATATCCTCGTACTTCAAACTTCTCACAAAGCTCCTTGGCATCCGCCGTACAATCGGCGTCGCCAATGAGCACGGACGATGACGCTGCGTAGTCATCGCCCAAGTCGTTCCATGCCTTGGCCATGGACTTGCAGTGTCCTCACCTACAAACATACCGTACAGTTCAGTACAAAACAAACATTGTTAGACAAGAAAACAAAGAAAGCATGAGAAGACCAGCCAAATACAGCGGAATCATGCGACGAACGGAGCACGGACAGGTCGTCATCGCCAGTCTTCGACTAGTTTCTATTCTTTGTTATTACTGTACGGTACTTACCAAGGAGCTAGGAACTTGACAAAGGCATTCTTGCCAGATACTTTGCTTTCAAAATTATCAAGAGTCAACTCCACGGCGCCACTAGCGGCGGTAGTGCTCAACAGGCAAGCCGCCGTCAAGACAGAGAAAAGAGACTTCATGGTCGTGTCTTTTTTCGAAATGTGACCTTTTTTGCGAGTTCGCGATGGAAAGATTCTTCTTTGAAAGCAAATGTGCGACTTTGCGAGAGAGAAGCTGTGCGTTCTCAAACTTCGGTGAGGACAATGACGGACGCCTTGTCCAAACCTGTGAGCTCCTCATCCACCAACGCAACTCTACTGCACAAGCAAGAATGCTCAGCTGCTAGCTAGCTAGCTACGCGTCTGCGTCGATTATCTGGAGCATACCGTATCTTTCTGAAGGTAGTAGGTTGCGTTTCCATAGATCGAAGATTGAGCAATTCTAACCTCGGCAGTCTTGCTGCCAGAGCCCTCAACCCCTTTAATTGTTTTTCCTGCTACGGTGGTCCCTGCAGGTATAAGGGTAGGGTTAGAATACAAATAAGTCAGCAAAAACTAAGTAAGTATCCTAGCTAGGATGGTGCAAAACAGCTAAAGCAATTTACATCCATCCTAGTAGGGGGATCTGCTTCCACCAGGAAAAACTCTAAAGCCAGCGAAAGCTATATAACTAGTATTCTAGCTAGCTAGGGGTGTCTGCTTCTAGCTTGCTATGGGAATCTGCTTCTAGCTAGGGGGGATTTGCTTCTAGCTAGCTAAGCACAAGTTAAGCACTAGCTAAGCACTAGAGGTGTCTGCTTCTAGTTACCTAGCTATAGGGGTATCTGCTTCTACACTGAAACCTTTCTGCCGAGGTTACACAGCTCCGCTGGCTTAAATTACAATCAAAGCACGACCGGAGCTCCACTTTCTGGTACCTCCAGAGCCAGAAACTCCAGAGGAGCTTGAGGAAATTGTTAAGTTATGGTGGACAAACAGCTGAAGAGAAGGTTGGCATGCCCTGCCAGAAGATGATCTGAAGGCTAAGCCATTGGGAGAGGTTCTTGTCAGGTTTTGAAAGAGGAAGGTCGACTTGGGGCTGAAGGATGAGCCATTGGGTAAAGTCAACTGAGAACTGTACATATTATGTCCATCTTGACGGATCAGAAGTGCAACCCATTCTCCTTTGCGCTCAAGTGCTGCGAGGGCTTGTCGTGCAAAGGGGGTCCTACAGCGGCCTCTCTTTTCCTTCAACTCGTTTGGAGGAGACATTATTGCTACTATGATGTACCAGCGTAACGATCTCCTAGCCAATAAGTGAGAGCATGTAGATGAAAACATGGCAGTTACTGTAGCAATCCACCTTTTTACCCAAAACACTGCCCGGAGTTCTAGGTGTGATCTAGCTGGAGAAACGAGCGATAATGGCTTTCATGATCTCTTTGCCCGTAGACGTAGCCAGTCATCCAAGGCTCAGAGCCACAAGCTCGAGCTTTGGAGCAACTAGCTAGCTTTGATTGCTTCTGCCTTCCCCTGCTACCGGTACCGGAGCTACAAGTTGACTCTCCAATGGAAGACATGGATCTGCTTTGGCTTTGGCTTCTTTGGATTGCACCTCCCCCTTTCGATCACTCAATTATCAACTGTAACGGCTTAAAGGTGCGCGAAGAGCTTCCAGCTGGCAGCGCGAGTGGACCGTTGCGACTGACGAACTTTGGAAGGTCTCCGAAAGTTGAAGGCCAAGCGAGAAAAAGATGGCCATGACCTTCTAATGGATTTAGTATCTCCAGTCAACCATTTCGTGCCAGTTTTGTTGAGAGCGGTACAAATCAAAGTCGACGCGTTGCAGTATCTTTGACTCTTTTTTGATTGTGTCATTTTGCTTGCTCTGACGAAAACTAGAGAGAGAGAGAAAGCAAAGCTTTTTGCAAGACAATCCAGCACGATTACCGTCTCGACAGCAGCCGACGATCACAACTTTGTGTTGGTGGATAGTGGTGGAAGTGCCGAAGCTCCTAAAAGCAGCATGTCTTCGAATCACTCCATGAACAGTTCCTTCCACGGCCCCGGCGTGACGGGTGACTCTCCTGCGGAAATCATTCAAGAGATTGAAGACAAGGATAAAAGTCACGATGTGATGCACTTTTTGGAAAGCATCAACCAGTCGCAGGCATTGCAGGCCAATTTGGAAAACTTCCAAAAAGATGGAGACATTGCCTCCTTGTCCAAACGCTTGCACTCGGACTGTGACAAGGGCATTGACAGCAAAACGGCCGAAGCGCGTCGCACTCATTGGGGAACCAATGCCATGCCGGCATCGCCACGCAAAGACTTTTGGACCTTGTTTGTCGAAACATTTGACGATGCCACGTTGCAAATTCTCATTGTGGCCGCCGTCGTGTCGTTGGCCATTGGCATTTACGATGACCCTGCCACTGGGTACGTCGAAGGAATGGCCATTTTGGCCGCCGTATTGATTGTCAGTGTGGTCACTGCCATGAATGATTACCAAAAGGAATCGCAATTTCGACAACTTTCCGATGCCAATGATGCCATTGATGTCGTGGTTGTACGAGATGGATTGCATTGGCAAATTCCAATTGAGCAAATTGTTGTGGGAGATCTCGTCGTTGTCGAAGCTGGTGATCCCATTCCCTGTGATGGAGTCCTCGTGCGAATGGATGGTATTCAGTTGGATGAGTCTGCTCTCACGGGAGAACCTATTGAAGTGGACAAGAATGCCGAAAATGATCCTTTCGTACTCAGTGGATGTACTGTCATTGCTGGATCAGGACAATTCCTGGCCATTGCGGTTGGAAAACACAGTCAGTGGGGAATTATTCAGAGTCACTTGGAAAAGGAGCAAGATCAGACACCTCTACAGGAAAAATTGGACGATATGGCCGCTCAAATTGGTTACATTGGAATGGGCGCTGCTGCCATGACCTTTGTCGCCATGATGATCATCAAGATATGGGTCAATCCTGCCTATTTGCAACACAAATCTGTATTTACTCATGCTCTCGATGCGTTTATCATTGGGGTCACCATTGTCGTCGTCGCCGTTCCTGAAGGATTGCCCTTGGCTGTTACCATTTCGCTCGCATTTTCCACAAAGAAAATGTTGGCCGATCAAAACTTGATTCGCCACTTGGCAGCTTGTGAAACCATGGGAAATGCCACAAACATTTGCTCCGATAAAACAGGAACTCTCACCGAAAATCGAATGACCGTCGTCAAGGGAGTCTTTGCGGATACCCGTCACGAAGACATCGCACACGCCACACGATCCATCAAAATCAGTGACAAGGCCCAACACATCTTATTGGAAGGGATTGCCTGCTGCTCCACGGCGAAAATGGTCCCTCCCCAAGTGCCCGAACCATCCGCCAGTCCCAGTGAAGAACACCCGATGGTCGACACTCGACCTGTCTGGATTGGAAACAAGACCGAAGCTGCCATGTTGAGCATGGCGGCATCTGTTTGGGGTGGCAATGATGATTGGGAAATGAGACGAGCCAATGCCGAATTTGGAATGCCCGATGGAAGTCGACTCTTCCCCTTTTCCTCGGCGCGCAAGCGAATGACCGTCTTGGTTACCAACCCGGCTGCCGTAGACGATATTGATCACGCTGACATGGATTCGTCCATGTCCATCATGAGGCGACGAGCTTCTGCTGGGTCGACCATGTCCCGGACGACTTCCAAGCGAGGCATGGGCGAGCATTGGACACTCTACCACAAGGGTGCCGCCGAGTTGGTATTGGAGAATTGCACCCACTATTTGGATGCTGACGGCAATGAACAAGAATTGGATGCGGACAAGCGTCATTCCTTTGAAAAGGTCATTCGGGAATACGCCCGTGGAGCACTTCGTTGCGTCGCCTTGGCCCATCGCAGTCGTATTCAAGAAATTTGCAACAACCTTCACGAGATTCAGTTGCCCGAAGTAGAAGAAAAATTGGAGACGAACATGTGCTTGGATGCACTGGTCGGTATTGCGGATCCGCTTCGTGCCGATGTCATTGAAGCTGTCGCTATTTGCCAAAAGGCTGGTATTTTTGTCCGCATGGTCACGGGTGATAACCTGGAAACTGCTATTGCGATTGCTAAGGAGGCTGGAATCCTCACAAAGGGTACGTGAATTGTAACACCAGAAATGGATGTTTCTCTTTTTTTGTGTGCTTGTTTTTGCATACTGTACTTCGACCATTCCTTACCTTCATTGATTCAATCATCGAATTCCACCGTCATTTTTCCTCTCAGGTGGCCTTGCCATGACTGGAGAAGAATTCCGTAAGTTGACACCTGCTCAGTTGGATGAGAAACTACCCATCCTGCAAGTCTTGGCCCGCTCTAGTCCCGAAGACAAGCACATGTTGGTCCAGCGTCTCAATGGTGGACTCATGCCCGAAACCAAGGAGCAGTGGTTAGAAGTCCATCCGAAGAAGGATTACGAGACGCAAAGGGATCTACTCTTGCCAGGATACAAAGAAGAATGGGCGGCCTCTCGTGGAGGCGTCGGGGAAGTTGTTGGCGTCACCGGTGATGGAACCAACGATGGACCCGCACTCAAGGCTGCAGATGTCGGATTGTCGATGGGATTGAGTGGAACCGATGTTGCCAAGAAGGCATCTGACATTATCATCATGGATGACAATTTCTCCAGTATTGTCAAGGCTGTTTTATGGGGACGATCCGTCTTTGATAACATTCGCAAGTTCTTGCAGTTCCAGTTGACTGTCAACGTTGTCGCACTGACTATCACGTTCTTGGCTGCCGTGTCGGGATACAATCCACCTCTCAATGCCGTAATGATGTTGTGGGTAAACCTTATCATGGACACCATGGGCGCTCTTGCGCTCGGAACGGAACCTCCTGTGATGGATTTGCTGGAACGTCGTCCCTACCGTCGTGATGCAAGTTTGGTCAGCCGACCCATGTGGAGAAACATCCTTGTGCAAGCCACTTACCAGTTGGCCATGTTGGTCTTTTTGCTACACCGCCCCGATTTGTTCGATTGCGAAGATGGATCCACCCACCACTTCACCATCATTTTCAATGCCTTTGTCTTTGCTCAAGTATTCAACGAATTCAATGCTCGTGAGATTGGAGACAAGTTTGATCCCACGCGGTCACTCTCCAAATCTCCAATGTTCTTGCTGGTGATTCTCTTCACCGTGATTGCGCAATACCTGATTGTCGAATACGGAGGAGACTTCACGCAGACTCAACCTTTGACTTGGGAGGAATGGAAAATCACTGTCGGTTTGGGTGCCATCTCGCTGCCCATGGGATTTTTCATGCGACTGATCCCTGTCGACGAAGACCCCGCGACATTTGCTGGCATTGGTGGAGTGGACGGCAAGAAGGACAACTCATGGCTGCGTGTGCTGATTAGCATTTTGTTCCCCGTCTTGTGCGCCATTGTCTACCAACTGCTTTTGGAGGTGGAAGAATTGAAGGAAGACTACAGCCGGTACGAACAATCCCTGAAAAAGTAGGAATATGAGCTCAATGACCAGCCCGCAAGAGATGAGAGAAAGAAGGCGCAGGGCCTGGATGGGGTGTACAGTTATCTTGTGTTGTCGCTGCTGTGCACGCTGGGACAAAAGTAAATGGTTACATCAAGCAAGTCTGGTAGTCACTGGAAGAGTATCCTAGTTTTTGTAGCGAGAGATTTAACTGATGGTAACCCCGAATTAATTTAGCAAACAGTGACGCTCCCGAAGAGTAAGTGGTTCCAACTGGCAAGAGATCTATGGACACGAGGAAAGAGTTGCTTCCAGCGCTGCGATCAGCTTTCTGCGTCTCAGCTCCTGCTACCCAGCGGTATCACTCTTCCTGTTGACCAAGGAATCAATGTTGCTGTAGGTGTTTGCAGCTGACGGATGATTCTTGCCCAAGACTGACTCTTTGATAGCCAGAGCATCCATATACTTTACCAGAGCACCTTCATTGTCACCCATCTTCTCCAGGACAACTCCCAAATTGTGGTAAGTAGTTGCGACTGAAGGATGACTCTGGCCTAGTGTTGATTGCTGAATAACGAGAGCTTCCTGGTACATCAACAAGGCACCATCAAAGTCACCCATCTCGTCCATAACAGAACCAATGTTGTGATAGCTGCTGGCAGTATCGCTGTGAGTTTTCCCTAGTACAGACTCTCGAATCACAAGAGCTTGCTGGTACCTAGAGAGTGCACCTTCAAAGTCACCCTTTGCCTCAAGAACCATGCCAACATTGCTGTAGGTGTTTGCCAAAGAGGGATGATTCTTGCCGAATACTGACTCTTTGATATTAAGAGACTCTTCATATTTGGCCAAGGCACCTTCATAGTCACCCATTTCATCCAATACACTCCCGATATTGTTGTAGCTCCTTGCTACATCAGGATGATTCTTGCCCAATACTGACTCCCTAATGAGGAGACCTTTTCGGAAGTATGCCAAAGCACCTTCATAGCAGCCCTGGGACAATTGCACGCAACCCATCTTATGTAAGCTGGTTGCCACGCTAGGATGCGTCTCGCCCAGCGCAGCCTCTTGAATGGCCAGGGCTTTCTTTAACTTTGCCAAAGCATCATCGTATTCACCCTTGGCATACAATACCCACCCAATGCTGACGTAGGTTGTGGCTGTACTCTCATTGTGCTCGCCCAATTTGGTTTCACAAATGGAGAGAGCTGCTCTGTGGAGTTTCATGGCTGCATCATGTTCTCCATTCCTCTCAAGAACAGCACCAACCTGATTGCAGAAGTTGACATAGTCCTCATTATTGGTGTTTTCTCTTGTCTCCACTAGCTGAAGCAGGACATGCAGCATCCATCCACGCAACAAGTCATTCACTTGATTGTTAAGCTCGTGAAATCCAACACCTGAGTCCACTCTGCTAAGAATAGCTAGCCTGTCACTTTCTACTGACGCCTTGGCATTCTCAACTTTGGTATTCCCAAGAGTCTCATATAGTGCATTTATGCCACCACCACTGGTGATGACATCCTGCTCCAGGGAACCCTTCTCCTTTGGCGGCATGATAATGTCCACCTTGCATTCTTTGGTAGTGTGGGCCATAAAGATTTCAAAAATGCACCAAACTCTTGTCAAAGCCACTGGAGCTTTCCAGGGAGCCATCATTGACAACAGGTGCCCAATTCTCTTGACTCGGTCTCCAAAAATTGAAAAGAAGTCAACTTGGGAGGCAGCTATCATACCAGTCATTTGGTGAGCAGCGTTTTCGACTACCCTGTGTTGATTGACACAGAGGCAGCAGATCCAGATGTAAGTCCTTTTGGGATCAAGATTATTCTGGAGGCAAAAATCACAGAGCGTATCCACAACATCTCCGATTGAATAATCCCATGAATAACTGAGCATATGAGTTGCCTCTCCCACATGATCCTCTCCTTGTAGACAATGGACGTATGCAGCACCCATTTTTCCATCCAGGGGACAAATGGTGTTGGACCCCTTCTTGCGGATGACACCAGCAGGACCTCTTAAGTTCTCAATGTCATAAATCTTGGAGGATCTAGAGAGTGGGTTGCCTGTCTTGATATGCTTGGAAGCAAAGACTTCCTCCTCCAAGAAGTTGTGTTTGAGGTGATAGACACTAACACCAAGAGTATCTAACTGCTGAATTTCCACACCTTTCCAGTTGTCGTGGGAATCATTTCCAGTTTGCGTGCAACATGTAGAAGTCGGAACCGTTTCCTCTGTCTGCCCTGTCGTCTCATTGTCTGCTGTTTTATCGACACAGAGCGATTGTGACGAGTGAATACCTGGTGGATCGCTCATACCAGTAGCACAGTCAAACCTTGCCTTGTTGCCGTTTTGCCTTGTTGCCTCGCCACGATTGACGATTTCGGCATCGGCCTTTGATTGCGTACCGGTAACAAGCCAGCAAAGTGGAAATGCTTCATGGCGCCGCGTAGAAACGGATCTTTCCATCCTAAACGCGTCACGGGTTCCGGTACGGTACTCCGTCAATGTACCTGTACCGGTTGGAACGAAGCAGACGAAATCGAAATCGTCCACCTCCACCGTCCACAATTGTCCCGAGAACAGCCAAGCAAGACCTTGTTGCAACCAGGCCAGATAGGAAGAGCCAGTGGATCAAGGCGTCTACTGCTCTGTGCAAGAGACGTCTTCTGATTGAATCATTCGATTGTATGTTTGTTTGATTCACCACCATGTTGCAGTCTTCGAGCACTCCAGAGAGCAAGAAGATGCTTCATGCTTCGTTCAACCAAAAAGTCTCTCCTCCTGAACCGTCGACGACGACAAGTCCTACTGCCGTGGCTCCTCCAACTGCAACTTGCAGGATTGATGGAACTCTGACTGGAATGGCTGAAGAAGATTGTAGGGAGAGAGAAAAGTGCATGTGGCAGATTGGACCTTCCCTTGTGCTGAATGATCCATCAAAATGGATTGTTTGGTTGGGATAACAGGTTTTCATCTGAATAGTACAACAGTAAGAAAACTCCCTCGAATTAGGATGATGCATGACACAGCATATTGACAACAACAAATTGAATGCATCTGATCAGAGGAGGTGGTCATAAAATTGATTTGATAATCCACTAGGTAAAAATTAGTAGTAGATGATCCATCGTATATACAGTTTTTCTTTTTGACTTTGCCTGTTCCCTTGAATTATCATCTACCACTCGAATGTTTGCAAGAGGAGATCGCCTCCATGCAAACACACCACCTCATTGCCAAAGTTGCTCAGCAGAGGGTCTTCCTCTTCCAGTTCGGGGAAGCCCGATGTTTCTGACAAGAGTTGTGTCCATTCCTGTTCGGTGAGTCCCATGGAACTGAGGCTTTTGTCATCCCACGAGGTGGCTCTCTTGAGCATGGTAGGCTTTTTCAGGAAGTGGTGAAGACTGTCTTGTGGATCCTGATGATTGGAAAATGGATCTGCTCCATTGTTGTTACGTTGGGGGGAAGGAAACATGCTATCGTTGATTGTCATGGGAGGAGACAAGCGTGCGAGAGGAGGAGAGGAAGGAGTCATGTCATTGTAAAACAATTCTTGAGAGGGAGATTTTGCACGATCTTGTGGACTAGAGTTGAATTCCACCAAATTGGACGATATGCCTCTGGAACCATCCAGGCGACTGGGAAGCAAAGTAAATGGCAGGTCATCACCTGAGTTTTGGAATCTACCCACCTGATCGAGACTTGCGACTGCTTTTCGAGGGGAAGCCGTAGTGGAGGAATCTGAAGGTACTCTCCTGGCACTGCTTCTAGAAGCACCAAAGATGCTGGTGTTGTCCACGTCGGCAATCATCTTTTTCTTGACATCCCTCATGGCCTGGGCTGTCTTCAGGTTGGCTTTGCTGTCGCCGATGTCATAGTAGGTGCGAGTTTTGGAGTCAAGCATGAGAAATCTGCCAGGAGGGGACAAGGTCCGAACGGCCAAAACGATGCTACTCGTAACGGCTTGTCTTTGGGAGCGAGGCAAGTTGGAGTATTCGTCCATGTTGTCTCTGATGAGTTCCCGCCACAAGTGGTTTCCTACGTGCTTCATTCCAATGCCTCTCCCGCACAGGACATCGTGAGGGTGTATTTCCTTAACATTGTGCATCGGATAGTTCTTAGGTTTGTTGTCTTTGCTACCGGTAGGTGAGGAGGTCATGTTTTCTAGCAACGATCTTCGTTGTTTGGTGGTTCGTGTTCGTTGGCTTGCGGCAAATTGTGAGCTCAGTTTTATATGACATTGAAACCTCGTGTCAATCTCGATCACTCCAATCCAGAAAGCTGATCCGTGCCCCAGGCCTCCAGGAGTACTGGTACGCTGTACCTAGTGCATTCCTTTGGCTCATCTCTAGTCGGGGGAGACACAGTGGGTCGCTTCCTCCGACGCATCGTGATCATAACTGGACACCACGTTATTTAAGAGGCCACAGTCAGCCCAAGACAATTTGAAAACTGCTCGTTACACTTTTACAGCACCGGACGAACTGTGTTTCAGAAATAACATGCCATGCAGCGTCATTCACATTTCAGGAAAACTATTCCATCTTTGATTTGAAAATGTGAATTGTCTTCACTTACCGCTGCGACCCAGGGATGATGTCATGGTTTGGCGTGGGAATGTGTGATTCGATTCAATTTGATCATCAATCCAAAGCAAGGCATCTCTTTTCGATTGCTACATGTATCTTTGATGTTGGCTCACTGCACCATGCAAGCTCTTGTAATCGCGACACGGCGAGCATTACGTTTCTTTTGTCTGCAACCATCGAGGTTGGTATCTCTACCACCATCTTCCAGAATAGAGTAAGGTCACGTTGATTTAGTTAATTGATTTGCCTCATGCTTGTGTGGAGCCTAAGTGCAGCGATCTAGACCGTCCATGATGTCTCGTTTAGGGCTCGTACAGTAGAACTTCTCCTTGATTCTAATGTCAATTTGCTTTTAGAAGGCTGTTGAGAGTTGCCCTCAGGGTCATGTACCAACGGTACCGTAGAGGATGCACAGCCTCCCAACCATTGCCTATAGAAGAAAGGTCATACGACTTTAGCAAAGAGTGACTGGATTAGGTACCAATAGGCACCAACGGTTCCGCTACAGGATGCACAGCCTCCCAACCATTAGCGATAGAAGAAAGGTGCCCATAGTGCCATGGTGCCCACGTTCCGCTGTTCCATCGACTTTATGCATTTTTTGTCCGCAAACTTTGCATTCTACTTCTCCTCTCTTCAGCAACGAGAGGACGAGACAGCTTCCAAGTGAACCAGGGTGGTTCAGAGCGGCAGCTCAGAGGAACGGCAAGAGCTACTAGTACCGCCGTCTACAACTTCAGGTCCTGCCGGCATAAAGGGATCTTTTCAGCATTCTTCCAAACAACCAAGCTGACCGGTCCAGATATCCAGACTTCAGCAAACAGAGCCTAGCTAGCATGGATGTGGGTTTTGAAGTTTAAGCGCATACAAAAGGCTAAGTTCGTCTATACAATGTTTTCTTACACATTCTAATGCTCTAGCTGGTTCGTCGTTACATAGAGTGAACCGGTTCAAAGAGACTCCTCGTGCTCTGTCATGATGGTTGACTCTGTGTGCTCCAGTTCATCCTTTTCACATTCTCCAACGCTGTGCTTCTTTTCCCTTCTTCGAAAGATGCTTTGAAATGCGTTCTTTAAAGTCCATTTCTGCTTCTTTTGTGGAGAAGAGGAGGCTGATTTGTTGTGCCCAGGACGGAGAAGCGCTAAAATTGTCTTGCTACGAGAGGTTCCTGATATGATATTCGTCGAAGCAGTTTGCAGAACCATGTGCCTTTCCACTAAACGATCAGGCTTCTTGTCCTTCAAAAGCTTGGAACGATCTCGTTTACTGTTGTTCTCCCACATCTTCCATTGACTGTATCTAAGCTCTTGTTGTGCTTCCTCCAGTGCTGAACTGCACATAGAACTCGCGCTATCATCAGGCATGAGGCTCTTGAAACTTATGCTCTGCGTTCCTGGTGCCACAACACTTTTATTTGTGGTTGCTGGTGTAGAATTGGGCGTAACGACCGCTTTCGGTGGAGCAGCCGGTCTTGGCAGGGTTACCTTGTTGGCAGCATGGCAGCTTTCTTTGTCTTGGCTTCGCTTGATCATTGTTGTTGCTGTTGTTCGCGTTCGGCTTCGGCTTCGTTTTGTGGGTGGAATTGATGT